ACTGCTGGTCTGTCCCTAGCCATTCCTGCTGCCAGCCACCTGTCGGAATGGGCTTCCCCTGCCATGCGGAGCGCCCTGATGGCATCAAAACGACTCCGGATTCCGATTCCGATTCCGCTTTCCCGCGGTTGTCGCTGCGATGGCCATTACCTCTGCATGCTCCCCACTCTTACTGCCAAAGACACTGATCATAGTGTCTTTGCCGGTGCGATGACTTTCCCTTCCGCACCTTCTGCCATCACCATGCACCTCGCCTCCTCTGTCTCCTGCTTAAACCGCACCCCCACCACGACATCATGTGACCGCCTAGATTTTGGCAGACATGTGACAACTCCACCGGAATTTAGGCGGCACATGATCCCTGGATTGATTCCGGGGGCATCTCCGGAGACCTTTCCGCTGATGCTGTCATCGTGGCTTTGACATGAGACCGCTCACACCCCGAGCAAAGGCTTGGCTTTCTTGGGAGGCAAGTCTCCATACTCCATCACCCGTGTCCCCCTACGCACGTGTCTCCGCGGGCCCTACAGCCCGGCCCCGATTCTCATCGGACTACCCGGGTGACCTTCCCTACGTGTCTGGCTCGACGCGTCCAGTTCGACTCTGGACCTTGGGATAACCGCGAGATGGCTGATCCCTTTGATCGGCCTGCGACACCTTGGCATGACACCACTCGTTGCTGCCCCGCTAGGTTCTGGGCGTGGCCTACTGCCGTATAGGCCCGCGCCAGATGCGAGATGACGAGTCCGCTCGCCTAGGGCCGCCCTACTAGGCCACGAGTGGCAGGTGCTGAGTCGGAGTGCCGACTTTCCCCCTCACTCTCCGGAGACGGACTCCACCCCACAACGTCATTCACATGGCATCGGAGTTCAGCTAGCACACCCCCCCGGAGACGTCTCATACGTCTCTGGTATCAACATAGCTGCCCCGGAGGGTACCCTTGCCTTAGAGGATCCACCATGGTGTTACCTAGGCAGTCACTGCAGTTCAGGGCTCTGCAGGTGCCCCTTCCGTTCATGGGACCCCTCTCCGCTTTCCGCCCGTCACGTCACGGTCACGCGCTCGGAATCGCGTTTCCGTTTCCGGTAGTCACGTCACGGTCACGTCACAAGCGGAGATGCTCAAAGGGTCCCATTGTACAGCCGGACCCCGAACAATGGAATCGCTTCTGGAATGCCTACGTCAACCCGCCTCTGCCGCACAACTAGGATGGGTCGAGCTGTTGCCACCCAGTCCGCAACACTAGGCTTAGTGACCCGGCTGACAGCGCAGTGTCCGGAGTCACACTGCAATTCCTTTCCCCCAACCTGACATCTGGGTGCAGTAAAAGTGAGCTCGCCACTCGCTATGCTATCACCCCATGGCAAGTCATTTGCCGCCCAACGATCTCCAACAACCAGTAGAGATGGTCGGAATCGCCCTGTGACGTCACAGGCGTTTCCGGTCACGCTCGGAGACGTTTCCGGGCACAAACGGAGACGTTTCCGGAGGTGTACTTGGTGCTTTGGCTAGCGCAGACCCCCCCTTTTTTTTTCTGTGGTGCGTCGGGGGCGCCGCACTCTTGAAGGGGGGATGGAGGAGGTATAGGAGGGGACTCGCAGAGGACCCTCCCGGAGCAACATGCGACCAGAGCGCAAGCGGGCGCACACCGAAGCTACGCAGAGGTGTAGTTGCACCATCTCTCGGAGAGGCACCGGGACCGCAGGTCTCCGGGGCGTCTCCAAATATGGGCGCGCAACCAGTGGAGAACGCAAGTACTCCATGGGTTGACCTTGGCAACAGCAATCACTGGAGCAACGCCAAGGTACCGTCACACTGGCTCTTGGAGATGGACAGTCCCTGGACATCGACAGAGACAGGAGCTTGGCCACCGGAGGACAAGGGACTCCGGAGGACGAGCTCAGTGACCCCCGATTTTTTTTCCTGCATCGGGCGACGACGCAGCTTGAAGGGGGATGATGTCAGGGGAAACCCTGATGCCGTCACTTGATCCCATCAAGCGCCGCGTCTCCGCTCGCGTCTCCGCGTCTCCGCTCGTGTCTCCGCGTCTCCGCACCCTGACGCTCTCCCTCCACTGCCCGCACCACATCCCACATCCAGTAATCCCCAGTCTCCGACTTCCCTGGCCACCCCTTTCCGGGAGTCTCTCCGCCGGCGGAGTCACCATCAGGGATCACTAATGCCATCAGAGACCCCTCCGGATGTGGACGCACCACTTCCCTCCGAGACCTTGAGCCTATGGCCTTCTAGCCTCTCTGGGCTGTCACTTATCAAGGTCTCCCCTACGATCTCTACCTGCTGGACCTCTTGGGTGTCCCCAACCCATGTCAGCGTTCGGGCTTATGTTCGGATGGCTGAGCCTTGCCATGGCTCCGCTCTCCACTCCGCCACCACGGCCCCCGTCATCGGGCCTTCCCCTGGGTGAGGCCTACTGCCGTTAAGGCTCGTGCCTACTGCAGCGCCCCAGGCTGCACGCCCTCACACCTCCACCTCTCTGGAGACGTCCGGGGACGTCTCCGAGTGACCCCTGTCGCTACCCTCCAGTGGTCATGGCTGGCCGCCATTCCCATTGGTCCTCTTCGACACTCCCCGCCCCTTGGGCTAGACCAGACTCCTTCCCTTTCCGCTCCACGCCTTCCCTCTCCGTTTCCGGCCGTCACGTCACGGTCACACACCCGGAGTCGATTCCGATTCCGATTCCGATTCCGGTTGTCACGGTCACGGTCACAAGCGGAGACGCCCAGAGGCAGCCTGGACCTCCCGAAGCCCTTCTTAGGCCTTCTAGGGATGCCTGGGCCCCTCCCTTGGCATCACGGTCCCAAACCTGCCTCTCCGGAGCTTCAAGGGCTACTCGACACTCACCTAGGGTCCATTAGCGATGCCTGACTTCTCCCATCCGTCATCCGTCACTATGCAGTCACTCTATCATTACTCCGGTCACTGGTATATAGTAGTGCACCTGGGCAGAGGGCTCCTTGGCTTGTTCTCTAAGGATTCCCCCTCTGCTCAGGTGAGTCTGTAGCGTCCCTTCCTGTTGTAGTAGTTCACTAAGGATTCCCCCTCTGCTCAGGACTCTGATTTCGAGCCTCGCGAGGTTGCCCTTACAGGGCCCACCCGTTGAACGGGTTGCGGTTGCTGAGCCCGCTCTTGGCGGGGGGGGGGGGCCGTCGGGGGCGTTTTGGCCCGAGGGTGGTTAACCTTGTGGCTTTGTCGAAAATGCGGTAACGGCGGAGTGCGCCGTCCTGCTTGATGGCCTCTGCCTTCCAGGCCTCGTAGGTGTCGGGGAGCGTGTCCTTTCGGTAGACCGCGTTCATAACGCCCCGGAGCATACAGTTCTTGGCAACGCGAATAAGGTTGACGTCGTCGTAGTGCGACTTTGTTGAGAGAGTCAAGGACCGTGAAATAACTAGTTGCGTCCATGTCTTTGGTCTGGACGAAGGTTTCCATCTTCTGCTGCGCGATTTCGGCGTGAGCTTCCCCGCGGAAGGCCGCGATGAAGGCTTTCTCGAAGCCTTGACGTAGTATAAGCTGCGGCGGTGCGGAGCTTCATGGCTTGGGAGACGTTTTCCTTCCACGTGACCGCGTTCCCTCCTTTGATGTAGGAGAGTGCGTACGAAATCTTTCGTACCTCGTCGTTATAAACATTCGGGTTGGCTTCAAGGCCAACCAACAATCGGCCAGGAAGGCGTCTACCTCGCTGGCGTCGCCCGTGAACTCCTTAGGGGGAGAGACGGTCACTCGTGTGTTTCCCCGTGGGGCCGATGAGCCAAGTCCTCTCTGGCTTGGCGGAGCAGATCGTAACTCTGCATGACTCCCTGCTGTACAGCTGCGTATTCCCCGTTTACTCGGGACAGCTCGGCCTCGAGGACCACTTGTCGATTCGTCAGGGCGGTGTTTTCCGCCTTGAGTTGCTCCATCTCCTGACTCGTTCGGAACAGATGGGCGAACAGGAACTCCTGTTGTTCGCTATGGCCCAGGGCCATGAATCGGGCACGTTCGTCCCCCTGGCTTGCGGGGGTGCCCATCGTACTGTCGTGCTCGGTAGACATTTGTCGCGCTTCTTGCGTTCGTGGGGGGAGGCTAATATTCTGTCAGCGTCGGGCTCGGGCCGTATCGGGGCGTCGGGGGTCCGACTTCGGAGAGGTCTGAGGAGCACGAGAGATGGGTATTCGCCCGGAGAATAGACGATATTAGCCTAGCGACTACATCTTGTAAGTACGACTTTTATACGCTACGGTATTAGGGATGGATCGGATGGGCGCTAGGCCCCAGGGCGGATCGGATGGGCGCTGCGCAGGGTCGTAGGGGTGAACGGAAGGGGTTGGAAGAATGAGGGGGCGTCCAGGAGGACGGCGGTATACGGGCCCGTGCGGGCCCGGACGGCCCGACCCGAACCGTGACAGCGGCGTCGCAGGCGAGGTCCCAGGGCGACCGTTGGGAGGGCGTTGACGGATCGGTGATTGTGCGGGCGAGATGGAGGGCCGGACCGGAGTCGGAACCGGAGTCGGACCGGAATCGGGCGCGTCTCCGGGCCGAAAGGGAGGTTCCCCTGACAAGGAACATATATTAGTCGGAGAGTACTGTTGGATATCTCCTAGGTACAGCTCAGAGCAAATGTGTACTGAGTGGTGAAAGACCATAAACAACAAGGTAGATATTGTGTTTTACTCAACAGGGGCGGGCAGTAACAGACAAGTGTGATGTAATCTGATGATGTCATTTGTTGACATTTATTTGGAAAATCCCCGTTGATGGGAATTATGGGAATTTAGACCGGGTGGGACCTTGCAAAGCAAGGTGAAGCAAGGTAACAATTGTAAACAAGGCGGACCCGTTCCGCTAGATTCACTACTCCGAGGCGAGGGCCGAAGAATTTTGACTATATCGTGCTCGATACAAACAAAGGTGCTTTCACCCTTCTCCTTTCCCCTCATCGCATTAGCTTAGCTTTCTGGTGTTTTACTGGAAGACGGCATGCATAAATAATGAGTAGCTCCTTTTCAGTCCGCCATAGAGTCTACGAAGTTTTCAGGTCGCATATGCCACAAATCTATCATCCTTGAAGCTGCACTCCTCATGTCGATTTTGTTATATTCTGCCTCGATTCGGATACGACTCCGAAGCAATTTCTTCGCAACATCTTTCCACTGAAGCTCCTCTCCCTTGAGTCCACTGACAGCCAGAAGTTTACCTTCTCTTTTCCTGATTTTTCCATCCACAATTACAGTGTCAACATCGCGAACAGACGCGTGCATGACAATGGCAGCGACTGGGTCGTGTGCAGCAGCACATATCATTGCTGGTGACTCTCCATCGAAAATTACCAGGTCGGCAAGCTTCCCGACTGCGATACTGCCAATTTGACTCTCCATTCCAACCGCTCTGGCGCCCTTAATCGTGCCCAAGTTGTATGCCGCTTCGACGGTGTGCTTGACAGTGTTTGGATTTTTTCCCGCATCCACGAATGGCTGGTTATAAGCTCCGCGAGCGCACTGGAGAGCAAGCCTCATTTGGGTGAGGATGTCGCCCGAGTTGGTGGTGTGGCAGTCAACGCCCAGGGAACAAAGCGGATGGAGGTCGTCGCGGAAGGAGACGGGAAATCCATGGGCCATTTGCAGCTCTGTGTCGGGGGTGACGGAAACATGGGCGTTGGCTTTCGCGAGGAGGACGGCGTCGTTTGGCGTGGCGTTGCTTGCATGAGACAGAAGAATATCAGGGCCAAGCAGTCCATATGTGTCAAGCAGCTCAACACGAGACTGTGGTCCGACTACGGGGCCACGAACATAATGGGAAGTGATAAGTTTGACCCCCAGCGACCTTGCGCGCTCATAGCACTCGATCACAGTCTCTTTCGGCAAATGGAAACTGTCGAATGACAGCCCTAATTGAACGCGACCGTCGCCAAACGGCTGTTGTTTTGCCAAATCAGCGAGTTGAGAGTCGAAGTATTCCGGTGTGCCCGGCGCAAACGTGAGTGGAGTCCAAGAAGTTACGTTGGGTGTGTCGCAGTAGCCAAAGATAGAACGAATGCCAGAGGAAACCGTTGCAGTTATTGCATTTGGGGCTGAAAATCGATATCATTAGAGTGTGAGATGAACAGAATTGTGGAGGGCGAACCGTGATGAGGACCTTGAGTGATATTGGCATGATCAACAAGCATTGTAGTCCCTCCATCGATAGACTCCAAACACCCTCCCAATTGTCCCCAGAATACGTCTTCTGAGGTGCAAAGCGAGCCAGTCCAGTTGCCTGAGCGAAGCATAAGACGACCTTCGACTTGGAAAATCACACACCTTTCGGAAGATAGGTCAATAAAGTATCATTCGTATGTCGGCCTTTGAACTGAGTTTGCCATACGTGATGGTGGGTGTCGATAAATCCAGGAGAAACAAGCTTGCCAGTGCAGTCGAGCACAACGGTGTTTGATTCCGGAATCTCGATGTTAGGCTTGATGTCTACAATCTTGTTTCCGACGATAAGGAGGTCTTCTTTGAGGAATTTAATGCAATCCCCTTCGCCATGGAGGATTAGAGTTCCGTTCTTGAGGAGGAGGGAGGTGGGGATTGACATGTACAGGTGCAGTGCCAGCGATGAATTGAGCTTTTTTAAGAACTTTTTCCTTTTTGGCTCTCCCGATCATGGCATTGCGTTGGTTCCTCGGAGCGATAGTATAACATATCGAAACGACAGCGACTTAGACCAACTGTTCAGCTTCAAAGGAAAACGCGTCCCGGGCTTGCAGGGATCATGTGACCTGCGGAGTGAGACGCAGAGGAGACGGTGGATGAATACAAAAGTACAGTCTGAGTGCAAACATTGTCTCGGCTAGGGTTGTAGAAAGTTGAAGGGCGAGAAAGCAGTAGAAAGCCTCAGGCTGTTGTCACAGCGTTACACTCTCTCGTCTTTGCTCCCATCTTCGCCCGATTCTCGACTCCTTGCTTGTCGTCCACGCTCCTTTGGCTCCGCAATGACGACCACCGTGCTCAAACACTCTATTCGCCATCTCGCCGCTATAGCCCAAGACGCCATCAACGAATGCAAATCGTCCTGGGGTCCAATTCGCCCTTTTCCAACTCTCGACGCGACCGCTTGGAAACTGTTCTCCGATATCAAGGCACTCATGACATTCAAGGACCGCGGCCTTTCAATTACGGACAAACTACTGGGGGAGTTGCTGAACGCAATTGAGCCATGTTTTGCTGAGCGGGAGGTCAGTTACTGACAATCTCATTGCTATGTGTTTTTGAACTCGCTCTTCTAGGCTTTGGAAAAGGCTCTTCTTTCCTCAGTCACAATCAAGAATATACTTGTACATGCTGGCAACGACCCTGACAGTCTCCATCCGTGGCCACAGGACGCTGGACCTAAACCCAGTATTCTGGTTAGCTGGGCAATATACGTCGGTGCAAACACGATGCTTAACCCTCGGCTCAACTCCGACGCGCAACTTCGCCTCTATTTTCAACATAGCTTTGCTTTCCTCATCACAACTGCTTCGCAAGCAGTTCGTAATGTGTGAGTGGCCGCTCCTGAACTGTGATTAGCCTGCTTGAACTTGAAACAGAATCATCCCCGAAATACCCCATATACCCAGCGCAATTGAATCGCAACAACCAATCAAGCGCACTCCCGAAAAGACCTTGCCAAAGAACCCTTCATCTTCTTCTCCGAGCACTCCAATACGTGCTGGCCGCTACAACGGTAAGTATATTATTACGCGATTCCATGCTTGCTGAAAGTGTTCAGATGTCCTCAATACCACACAATTGCCCATCATGCTACCCCCCCTCCGTTTCACATTTGATACCTCAATCAAGCTAGCTCCCGCACTCGCCTCTCCAAAAACTTTCGAATCTCGTTTGGGTCCGTCGCAGTCCTTCCGAACAGTCATAATATTGACACCCTACAGGTGCATTTGCATGTCTTATACGCAAGATTCCGCCTCCAGAGAGTGTATTTCCTTTGTCGCCACTTGGTTCCCAGCCATCACTCGCTTCCATAGCGGCACCCTTTGCTTCCACCCTGCCAGTTAATTTCAAGTCAACAAGAACTCGCTCTCGCTCGCGTCCCCGTCCCCGTACTACCAAGCCGTCTTTTGGCCGCCCACGACACCTTTCTCCGCCCAGCCGTTTGCCTCTTGGACGAAGTCACTGGATTGATTTTCGTAGACCAAACTCGTTGGTACGGTCATGGCCTCCCCGGAATCAGCCAATCAAAGCAACGCCGCCTGCCAAGCGTCAACGTGTTTTAGAGCCAGCGCCGCCATCCCGTCCTGCAACAACAACGGAGACTGCAGAAGCGGCCGTGCTGCCTCAGCCGTGCAAGCAAGGAGAGCTCACTGGTGCAAGTACGATTCCTGCTGCATTCGATTCTCGTGTCGTGTCTGGAGAAAGTGGGTTGAACTTCGACTATGTCCATCAAACGAGTGCGGCTGCGAAACGGTCTTGGATCGAAGCCATGCTTGCATCGTGAAGGTGAAGAGTGGGATAGACGGTTGCACGGTTGCAGCTTGAGACGATATACTTTTCCCTGCTTGCTTGTATTACCAACAGACTAGCCATATATACGAAGAATCTCGATTACAGAATTTGAGGATTGGAGTCGGACTTGTGTGGGTGTAGTTGGCTTCGTCAAGAATGCCTTGCAAAGTGCGAAGATCAGCAAGGTGAAGTCGAAATAACCAGTTAGTTGGTACTCACTAAGATTTCAACCAACTTCAGCTCGCTGGCAGAGTTGTAGAAGTAACTCTTCTCTGAATCGGATCGCTGACTTTTAGCAGATAGACGCGCTGAAGCTGGAGAAAATATTCAGAACAGGTTTCGAACAAGATAATGAGGGAGAGTCAGAGTGTGAATAAAGTCTCGACACGGTGGTTAAGACAGGGATAACTGAAAGGTTTATTCTCATCATAGAGGCGTGCATAGAATGCAGCGAGAGTAGTGAATGCAATTGCTCACCGTTCAACAGTCTTGGTTTGGGAGTAATACGGCAATTGGGTTCTTCAATGAAGCTATGTCTAGGTGGGAGTTCAGTCATGCTGTCCAGGTAAGAGGAGGGGAGGAAAGAGTCAGTGTAACTATGACATGAAAACGTATCATGGCCGCTAGGCTCAACGGTAGTGACAAAGAGGATCATCGTGAGCTTGTGTGGCGAGGCAGAAGTACTCACGTTCTAAAGGGAGCCGTGCCTGCGGTTGGGCTTTGAGGATGCGGCAGACATCGTGGCTGGGTGGAAGAAAATTTCCCTGTCAGTTAGTCAGCCATCAGATCGTGTTCCTTCCAATGGAGAGCTGTAAAGTGACAGAAAAGAAACAGAGTACTCGCTGCTCCTCTTCTTCTCCTCCCTCAGTGGTATTCATTCAATATATGCCAGTTAGGTCAGTCAATCGTTTTCGCTCTTCACTCACAGCGGTGGCACGTGATCGTGTTGACACGGATCAAGCGTCAACCATCAGCCTCGATGAGTGCTACCTTGCTGCTACCTCCAACGTTAGCATTGGATGTCAATTGTCAGAATCTGACCTAACATATGTTTGTCACTGACTAACAAATAGTTATTTTCACTTAGACAATCTGACAATTCTGACCAAACCTCTGAGGTGTTCTAAAATGTCAGCTTGGAGCCCATTGAAAATTGCTGCTCTGGGTTGCCATCACTGATCGGTGGCAAGTACGACAGTAGTGACCATATACGGCCCAACGGGAGTTGCGCCGGCGCCTCTCAGAAAGGCCAATATGGTTCCGGCCGTTCGGCAGTGGGCTGCGATCACATTATGTAAGTGCAGCCATAGCCACATATGGTATCACACTCAGTTCCAGGGCGAGCCACTAAAGGTCTGCAAAACCTTCCAAAGTTGAGACCCAGTTGATGTTGGACATGGGGAGGATAATACAGGTCAATTTCCCAATATGGTAATTGTCAATTGTCATTGGTCAGATATTTAGTCAGAACTGACAATTGACATAACAAATAGTTATTTTCCCCAAAACCTAATTGTCACCGGACCCTATCCAACGTCTACCTTGAATTTCCAGCTCTCATCAACCTCCTCCATACTCATCCATGCAGTCAACTTGCTGCATCTTGGAGTCCACTGAAAATCATTGAGCGCACGCCGCACGGAAGCAGTGTGATTTACAGACATGGCCGGAAGCAAAATCCGCCAAGGATGCTGATCATGAAACTACGGCAACATCTAGGTCAGGCCTGGGGCCGCAACTTCCGACTCAACCAATACGGCCATGGCTGCTGCTGGCGCTGGCGCTACCTTACCGCCTAATTTCAACCCTGCTGAGCCCCTGGGTAAAAGGATGAACGCTTCTCATGGGCTGAGCTGAAATCTGTGGACAGGTGACCTGGAAATCGGCGTGCTGGTCGCGGTAAGGACTTGCTTCCGAGACGACGAAGCGCTCAGACAAACGCCCAGTATGCATTATTCGGGATTACCACAGCGCAAGCCTACACTTATTATACACGGTTTCCCAACGACTCCGTGTTGACAAAGCTCTGGGTTGCCTTCATCTGGTATGTCGCACTTTCTGGGTTCATTTCCGTCGTTATTGACTTGGATGTCGTGAGGTTATGCGAGCTTGCCCACATCGCCTGCATCGCGCAGACGCTGTTCACCGCCACCATCAAGGACTACATGCATCCTGAGCGATTGGGAGGAGTGTCGCTCTCCATGCTCGTATCAATTTTGCTCACCGGTATTATCGCGGCTCTGGGTGGGTTTCCTGTAGAGAAACTTTAGCTGGCTGACAACATCTTATAGTGCAGGGCTTCTTTGGCTTGCGGATATACCGCCTTTCTCGGCAGCCCTACATCCCATTCGTCATTTTCCTTCTCGCGCTGATTCAGGTTGCATTCAGTATCATTCCGTTCATCGGCGCACAGCAAATTGCCCAGATCGTCGAGCAACAGAGCTGGGTCGTCTACTCCGAATTGGCGGTGTCGGCGGCAAACGACCTTATCATCGCGGTCACCATAGTCACGCATCTGTGGTGGGAGAAGAACATCGCTAATCAGAGGTCAGCGCGTTTCCGTGTTTGTTTGGTTAGTCGGACTCGCTGAACAGCAGTGCATAATAGCACAACGGTCGTTTTGGAGAAGATTATCATGTGGACTATAGGTTTGTTGCTGCTTCATCCTCTCTTCGATGCTGACTGAATATGTACTCAGAAACTGGAATCATAACAAGGTGTGAACCTCATCTCTCAATTTGACGCTTGACGACCTGCGCATAGTGCCGCTGCACTGTTGGCTTTGATCCTCGTGAGCATTATTGTTTCGAGATCACATCCCTTCTTATTCTGCCTAGTTCGCAACCATGCCTGGAAGCTGTCCGTTGATAAACACTCTCTGATCAAGCATCAGTCACTAACATGTTGCAGTCGGCTGGCTCGCAGTCGAAGTTGTCGTTGCCAAATGTAGTAGTTTCTGCCCAGCTATACTCGACGCATTCTGACCGCTTGTTTCAGTGTACTCCAATTCCCTATTGGCAAGTCTGAACTCGCGATCGACCCTCCGCGCATTACGCACTGATCAAACCAACACCGGATCCTACACAATGGTGAATATCATGCGAAATTCCGTCAGGCCATCGACTGAACACCCACAACAGCAAGTCAGCGTCTCGACCAATGTCGAGGTATCGAAGCACGGCAAGTTCGGACGCGGTAGTGTGCAGTATCTCTCCAGCGAGAGCATGGATGTGGGTTCATCGTCATTGTTCTGTCTGATCGTCTAGCTAACCCGGATTCGGCTCAGTCGAAACCGTGTCCCCATCAGAGTGGATTTTTTCCGTGAAGCATGAAATGTACAAGTTGTTTTATTTCAAAGGTTTTACTTGATTGTATCTTTTACAATAAGTTGTTGGCATATACAGTTACAAAGCAAATAGCAAAAAAGGTGTGCAACCAAGAAAGGAAGGGGATGACAAATCATCGGATTTTGACTCGCAACGACCATCTACTGACGCACGAGGCGCCAGCCGTCCCAGCCAATACGGCCACCGATCTGGGGGCCGTGCTCAAGGCGGTAGTGTTCCCCCTCGAGACTGTCGAGTATGGCCGCAATAAGCATCGCCGTCGCCGTTGGGGCCCAATTGGCCGCGATGCATTTCAACGGACCGTACCCGAATGCAAGGACGTCTTTAGCTCTTTCTGGCTCGAGAACGAATCGCATGGGGTCAAAGGACCCGGGGAATGGATGGTTAGCCGTTGCCCAACTTGGTGAGCACTGGGCGCTTTCGATGTCCGCGACATCGATAAAGGTCAGTCCGTGCCCACACTCGTACGCGCGCTTGACGCGTCCAACAGGAGGGTGCAAACGGAGAGATTCGAGAATATAGTGATAGGGTGCAGGTTGCTTTTTGTCCAACGCGTTGCGGAAGCATGTGGTGCGGCCAGTCCTTTCTGCTTGGTCAAGAAAATCGCAAAAGGCGGCTCCAGCCTGTTTGCTACCATCAACATGGGCAATCGTTGACGCGACAACACGCCAGAAGGTCTCCCAGGTGGGTATGAGAATATCCAGCTCAAGACTGGTTGGGAAATCAAGTGAGAGAATGTCGAGGTGGGTCTGTAGCTGGGCCCGGAGATTGCTAGTACTGATATTCAACCTTGAATGCAGCCAAATTGTTGTGATGAGGTGGCCAACTGAGCAGAGATGGTGGTGATCAAGGGAAACTGGTGAGTGTCCCGGAAACAGCAGTCCGCAAATGATAAACCGAAGAGCAGTGATCTGAACAAATCTGTCGAATGGGATCTCGGGGCTGCCCCATGTGTCCAACGACACTTCGACTGACTGCCTGGCAAGCTGGGCCAGATTCGACCAGTTGGGGTCGGCGATTAACGCGCTGCTTCGATGGCGGAACATGGCATTCGTTGCGACATCACCACGAACAAAAGTATTGGTCAGATGGAATGCCTCCACAAGACGGTGGTTGGCAGCTGCCCGAGCTGCCAGCTGGGCTGCCTTGGAAGTAGGTCCAAGCATCGAACGGACACCGGAGAGGGTGGGATGGACAATGGTGGTGGTGGAGGAGGGAAAGAATGAGAAAAGCAGGACAAGGATGAAAATGCAGATACATATGCCATAGAGCTGGAGAAAGCTAGGGGACCACATTCTTTGACACAAAAAAACAAAACCAGTATGCCATATGCTCTTTATACGACCCCACTTATCTCTGTCCATTTGCGTTGGTGACCAGTCGCCACACAAGCTTAGCTCTGCCATGCACATCCAACCCTGCGCCGCTTGATCCACCTTGTTCGACACTGGCGCCCATGGGGATGCGACAAATTCATTTCTGGACACCAAAACAGCCTCGTGCTTGCCTTTGCACTCGTCGCGGGGCGAACCAAGCATTGGTATGTGAGGTTCAACATTATACTAGTTTTACAAACGACGGCACGGCCGGTCAGAGCGAAATCCAGCGCGACGATGATGTCCTTCCAAATCAGAACGCTTCTTTCTCTGTATCCAAAATAGTCAAATTCAAAGTCAGCGGCGCGGGGAGTCGCTTAGAGTTGCGTCCTGACTGCAGTTCGGGGATCAGCGGTGCCTAGCCTCGGCCATGAGTCGCAATGTGGATTCCGTTGGTTTAGATTTGAATTTCTTACACATACAACAAGTTACGGACGAATAACTTAGAGCAGTCGCCGACCATTGACCTAATACTCCGCAATCTGGATCACTTTCCCTTTGAAGCTGTCAGCCAAAGCTCTCGTAAGGGCGACGTGTGTACTGACCAACATTGGAATACGGGCTGACTTTTCGCTGGCCCAGCAGCTTGACGTCTCCCGTGTCAAAGAACGAGTACCCAGCTATTGGTCACCAATTAATATGTGAGCCAATGCCTACTGAAAACGCCTACCGATCTCAATCTCGTCTTCGTCGTCAGTATCGATATGTCCGTTAATTGCTCGGCCGGTCTTGGAGTCACGCAAAATTCCGCTATGGTCAACAAACGGCGCGGGGCGTTCATTCGCGTCACGATGGAGTTGAATCAGAATGCGCTGTACTTCGAGCAGATAGCTCCGGAGAGTGTGAAGGAATCGTCGTGTCTGGAGGTGCTTCGACGAAGCGCATCTGTCCGCCAGGTCAGAAATTAAAAGCAAAGGTGAGTCAAGAGTCCAAGACAACGAACATCGACAGCCCGTCTTCTTTGATGATATACCCTATTCCATATCCGTCCGCCGCAACGGGACCAAAGCCAAACAACCTCAAGGCCGGGTTGCCACAATTCGAGGTCGACAAAATTGACGTGCTGAGAAGCTCCCAACCTGGGTCGGTGAAGATTGCGGGCATCTTGCTGGGGCTTTCCGGCCAAGGCGCGGGGTCGTCAGGAAGCGGGTTGAGGTTACCAGCAAGTTGACGCTGGATGAGGCAGTAAAGCGCATAAAGATGTCTGTGGTGGAGATAAGATACGCTTAGATAAGATTAACCCAACAGACCTGTCTTGTCCAAGGCCCTTGCTGCATTCCTTTGTTAGCGTAACATGTCGCTCGCACGCCTTTCGCAAGGCTGCAATCTTCTCTGATGGCGAACCATCCGAGTAGAAGGTCTACATTAAGTGTAAAAATATGATCAGATATTAAAAGGGTTCCCGCACCTTCGTGAAGGCGACACTTTCGGGCTGGATTGAACGAATAGCCTCCGTTCGCCCATGTAAAAAGGCCTTGGTCATGGCGGGTTCGTATACACATTCAATTCGCCCTGAAAATTGTGAGATTTGCGCACAATGAGTTGGATCAGTGAACACACCATAAAGTCCAAAATACGCAGCCTGGAAGGCCATTTGAACGAACGCATCGGGACTGAATCCATGACTCGTGATAAAATTCTTGCCATAGGTCCTGAACTCGAGTGCCTGACAATCGTTCTGGCAAATTAAGTCGCTCAAGCGAGTCTCCGCAAATCGAATGCCGACGCGAAGCTCAGAAGAGAGCTTCCATTCGAGTTTCTTTGGAGAAGTGTCGATCTTCTCCGGAGGTGGAGGCGAGACTCCGTTGGTCTTGGGCTTGACCTTGTAAGAGCGTGCGTGTGGGGACAATGATGCGTGGAACAGTGTGGGAGCAGAAGGGTTGATAGACCGAGCGAGAAGCATCAGGCCTTCTGTGAATATATCTGCAGCGAACCTAACATTGGTCAGAGAAGTAGTTAATCATGCCGAAGATAAACGCACCTGAGGACAGTGTGGCCGTCTACACCAGTATGCTCGAAGTTGATTCCCGCGGCTCCATCCGCGCAAACGATTATCTGTAATTTGTCGTACCACCGGTTAGTGCAGGTTCCGATCTGAATCCCGCTATCGAGTCCGTATGTTCCACACAAGAAGTTAGCGCAGAGCTCAGCCAGGTCAGCTGGCGCTGTATCATCTAAGCAGACAATGAACAGCGCGTTGTCAACAATATCCAAACATGACGCGTTGCTGCTGTCTGTTGATAGTCTGGCTCGAAGGCGAGACCATTCCTTTCGATTCTCGGTCGATAAAACACCTATCGCACTGCGAGCCACCTGAGGATTGGACGTTAAAATTGGAGCACGACTAAACTCGAAGAGGCTACCTCGGATCTATGTGTCTTGTCGGCATCGGTCACGATGGCCTGCAGATTACGGATGACTTCGCGTTCTGTCAACAGTGGCCGATTCTCTTCGTCAAGCACATCAAACCAGTCTGGCAAGCCGTTTGAGTCGGTGTTTTGGTTGAACTAGACGATGACTCACAAAACTGGCCCCGACGAAGCACAACCAGATGACGCGAATCAGGGTTAACATGCATCTTACAGCCTCTCTATGAGCGATAGCATTGGTGAGTAGAAAATGAAGGAGAAGCGATCCAAACCTCAGTTGGAATGCGGGCGGTGCCAAAGAGCCTCTTGTACTGGTCCATGTCAAGCGGAACTCCTCGAACATTGTCCGGTTCCAGCAATTCTGCTCGCAGGTCGTGAATAAAACCCAGAGACGAGACAATCAGTGCAGCAGCTCGTGGAAGTTGAGAGCCTCGATCAGGAGTAGGGTCATTCCTGGATGTTTCAGGAATTTGAAGAAATAGCGGACGAGAACTCACTCGAGAACGAAGAACGGGTTGAGAGCCAGTACAACTGGATCGGTGTGGGACAAGTACGACTCATACCTTGCAATCTGTTGAGCTCAAGCAATATCGGGGGCGACAATACACACCAGAACTCTTCAATGTAGCTAGATACCGTCAGTTTGCGGCTCCCAGAACAGTAGAAAGCACGAACCTGTCCTTCTTCTCTGCCCACTTAATCAGGACCTCCTGAATCTTCTCGCCCTCTCCACCTTTCTCCAGGAACTGCTTCACCGCAGCCTGCGTTAACTGATGTTCATGGTCGTTTTGCAATGCCTTGAGAGCGGTTAGATACCGACGGCAGGTATCGTCCAGGGGTGGTATCGGTAACTTTGGCAGCGCGGCTTGGCCTGAGAAAGTGCTTTTGCCAGACGCTGGGGTCGGCGATGCAACCGGTTTGGACATCGAGGGAAGGGAGAGTGGGTGCTGCTTGGAACAGGGTCAGCAGACAGACGTCACTTTATAGTCAAGAGGACACACGGACGGCTCGTCCCGAATGAGGTTGATCGCTGATTAGTTTTTGAATGCAACGAACGATTGCACAAGGAGAAGCGTTTCCCCGCATTCGAATTCCGGGGCTCCGCAATCGGCCGAGACGCTGGCCTGGTCCTGGGTTTGCCAATTTATCGTGGGTCCAGAATTGTCGCTGCTAGCGTGCATTTAGGTTAATGAAAGGCCAGTCGAAACTTGAAGGTTTCGTTCACCTCTTCAATCTCCCGCCTCATCTACATGCCGGGGGCAGGCACTAAATCCGCTATTAACCTCGCCTGGGAAACGAATCTTGGCATAGATAAGGCAAGGATAGTGGTAGAGAAAAAGAAAGATGGGTATTCACGGTCACCTGAAAGTCACACCACTTGATACTCCAAAATGCAACGCGGCTACGAGTTGCTACGTCGCCCCAGTCTGAGGCACAGATAGTTTCCCTTATCTCCCTCCGTCAAGCGCTTCATCTACATACCGGAAACATCCCCCCACATGTGTTATTTCCGCTTTCCGTTATCACACTGAAAGGGCTGCGTCTTGTTTGAGCCGAAGTCGGGTGTGCTCGAAGTCGGCGAGACTGGGAATTATCTTGATGGCGAATGCTCAGGCAGCTAATCCAGCCCTTAGCTGCGACACTATCAGCAGCGATTCTAAGCAGCCACAAAATTGTGAATCCCTCTGGGTTGTTCAACTAAGAAACAGCCAAACAAGCAAGGCTTTCCTCTTTCTTCTCTCTCACAAGCGACGGGAGAAAGGGTTGAGAGCAAGCTTGTTGTGCAGCTGGCTGGCAGAGACCCAGTTATTTATTTATTTCACTTAGGCCCAGTTATTTATTTATTTTACTTAGGCCCAGTTATTTTACTTAGCCCTATCAACTTGCTAGCGTTCTCAAATTTTCTCTCGTTCCTCACCAAACTGGCTGCTGGCAAGCTCTATTACGCTAAAATACTGTACAACAATTGTCTATATGTCCCGTGTGTCCCTATACAGCCCGTCTAATAGATACAAAAAATCCGTCCAAGTGAGAAAAGAGAAGGTGATTGTACAAAGGTCAACTCGTGCGTGTGCCAACGAAAGAGGAAGTCTGAATCAGTGCTAGCGATACAGTAGGTGGACACGATGTCCGCGTGTTTCTGCCTTGACTAGCTCAAGGCATCAGGACGCGATTGCCCTTTTCAGGGCCAGCCAGCGTTGGCGGCTATAGATAATGAGGTACGTGGCGAGGCAGGCTGTGTCAGACTCCAATCCCCGTCGCCATTTCGTTTCGGATCCCAGCCAACTCGAGCTCTCGGCGCATGTAGACACTGTCCCTCGCACTCGCTCGAAGCGCGTTGAACCCTTCCTGAAGACACGTCTGGAGCTCGTTCTCGTAGTTGTAGTCGTATGACCAGTTAGGTTGCTGCTGCTGCTGGCGGATATTCTGAAGCTCTTCAGACAGACACCCGATTGCCCAACGCCAGAGAGTCTACGGCAAAAGTTAGTCAAGGAATCACTTAAACAGCTCGATACGCACCCCCATAATGGGACTGACCACTGACATCCCTTGGGAATCCTTCAACATCTCGACAGCACTATGAACACAGGCTGATCGCGCGTTAGCCACGTCGTAGCCATACCCGCTCATCACGACCTCGAGTTGGTGGAGACGCATCGTCGTTCCATCCAAGAAAGCATGGGCCAGCCGAACCCGCTCATCCACTGGAATGACACCATATGGCGGGGAGTGACTGTAGTTCGATGACCCAGAGGAGTGCGATGAGTTGGAGGGCGACCTGCGGGGATTGGGCGGGTAGCGGGAAGGGAGTTGACTGCGAAGAATGGTGGCCAGATCTGCGACAGTGTGGAAAGCGTTTATAACGCCCTGCTGGGCAGGCGGTGTCGACGCAGCGGCCCATTGGCCATGCATATAGACTGTGCGATGCAACAACAATGTTGCCTTGACGAGCATTGTGTTGAGCGAATCATTCCCACCGTCTCGGTCGTGGCCGCCAAGGTACTTTTTCATCGTCTGGTCCCCCGCTGTGTTGGGGAACAAACCATGGATGTCGCGATATTCCTCAACTTCCCTCGGCCACGGCAGCTCGACCGCAACATGCTCAAACAGACCACATGTTTCCTGCGGTGCCTCTTCTCCATCGAGCGAAATCGCAAACAGTTTCTGAAGCGTGATGACTGCCCAGACCGCTCGAGTGCGCTCCCCAACGTCAAGAGTGTCGTTTGCAGAGGATATATGATGGTGTTCAATGCTATTATGACTCTCGGAAATCGTCAAAACGGTTGAACGATTCCGATGAAGTCCAGCTCCAATGACCAGTGAGGCGGCATTGTTTACGTGTACCCGTGCTCGGAGGAGAGAGCCGGTTCGCCAGAGGTAGTAGGCTAATAAAACTTCGGCTTGGATGGTATGGAGTAGGATTTGTGGCGTCGCAAAGTCGGTTGTGCTGGCAGTTGCCTGCAGAGCTCGAAAGACGAATCTATCCTCGGTGACTCGATCACGGGGAGCGGAGAGATGTGCTCCAAAAGCACAAAGCGTGTGAAGGAGAGCAGGCGAAGTTCGTTGAAGGAAAGAGGTAGCGCTGGTCGGAGACGCGGACCGCGATATCAGGCGTTGGGGGTCAAGGAAGAAGCCAAATTGGGGCCCGTGGGGCAGGAAATTTTGAATCCTATTGGAAGAGGTCAGAGTCAAGGAGAAAATTTTGGGGAAGAAGGCGCACAATGTATCCCATAACTGAACATCCTGAAAGTCCAAACCTGACGAAACACTTGACTCGGGTGTAACAACTACACGTGCATCGAAAATTCCCAATGGACTCAATGCATTCCCAGGCAAGCCGAATGGCGGAGTACTGGCCGTGGTTGAAGGAGGAGGTGAGAATGAATCCAGATGCGAGATGGGAGAGGCGGGAGTAAGGATACGTGGCAGTCCCTCAAATGGTGTCACGGGAAGCGACCTGTGGCCAAGGGGTAATGAAGGTTGGTTTTGTGGCTGCGGGTAGGTGGAATATGGGTCGTGAAGGGTGACTGAAGGGGTGTTCGCTTCAGGACGTTCGAGCTCTAATAACCGAGCCTCCAATCGTTGAACGGTGTCTTCGAGTGCTTTAGTTCTAGAGCGAGTAGGACCGTCTGTGTATTCGCATTGGTCTTCCTTGGGTTGTTTTCGACAAGGTCCGCAAGTGGGGCGAATGCCATCGCATTTCTGGAGAGGGTAGGTCAGCTTTTGTTGGAGAAATGGTACTGGGCCACACACGATTTTGAGAAATCTAAGATGATTCACAGTTAGTCGAGGCCCAAGAAGAGTCGACGACGACGTACCTGCAATTCATACAAGCCGTTCCACGTTTGAGTGGCCTCGAAAGCACTGAGCGGGATCGGGTTTGGGAGACGTTAACATCTTTAATCATGGTGATGGAGGGAGAGGGTTAAGAAAAGAGAAGACTGCGCAAGACCCATTCATGCTTATATAGTGGTGCATTGTTAGTCGGGACATCGAGGTCGGATAGAAAAAAAAAGAGTGTGACACCAAAAGCTGTGCTCCGTCTCAACCTTCTCCGGTCCGTCATTTCACACACACTGGTTTTCTAGCCTTGAGGCTGCTCTTCTCAGCTTTCCTTCGTCATCGGCCATCTGAGTTCTTTGGCTTACTGCTCGTACCTGAGCGTGTGGAGTTCCTCTGAACAACTTGAGCCACCCCAGAAAATTTCACGGCACCGCCTCTCTAGCTCTATACACACATGCTACCTTAATTCACAGACACTGCGGCCATTAAACCGCTCATTCCCGACCTCAAATGCCTTTCATATTTCACCCGTACTCGGAGACCCTCACCGTGAATTTCGGACATTCCAAGTCCGTTGTTTGCTTTCAAGTCTGCTAGCTATCGATTTAGCCCTCAGCTCCACCCTCTCCATCGTCATAGTGATTCAAGTCTCCGTCCCTCGTGTGCTTGCGGAGCTCGAACCGTAGCCTTCCATTTTAGCCTTGATCATCGACCACAACACTGCCTAGACCCACAACGAGGCAAGCAGCAAATAACTGACTCCAAGTCCGCAGCAAACCTGGAGCTTTGAGTCACACTTCCCCAAACTTTATCGCTTGCGACAAGTCGTTGAAAAGAAGCGCCGTTCACCCACTTCAAAAATTAAGCGTTGACGGGGATTTGACATTCGAGCTCGGCGTTTAGATCTCTCCCCCATTGAACATTCGTGAAAGGGCAGATTTTACAATCCAAATCGAGAAATCGTCGATCCCCAAAGGATTGTCAAGTCACTCGGAACTTGCCTTGGCCAGCTAGACTTACAAGCCGCACCCATAAGCGAACTGCATGCGAAATGAACCTGACTCACTGGCCCAGATGAACTGCCACGGAGACACAACTCAGCGACAGCTTCTGCTCCAAACTCCCAAGGCGACGAGAGAAACACCGCCTCAAGGTCCAAAGAGAGTACAAGGGCCTTGTCGGAGTGCTTGTCACTTTTGGAGCAAACCGGAATGCGGAGTTTCTTCGGTTCGAATTTGACATCGATTGACAGAGTCGATCGCGGTGTTTACCCCAACATGTTTATGTAATGTCATTCCTTGGATTCATTTTCCTTTGCATTTGCAGTGCGTTTGGCGGCCAGCAAGTGGTGTGAAGCATATATTCGATGGTCAAAGCATATGTGTACACCTTGCAACCATCCCTCCCTGCCTCCTACCCTTGGGATAATATTTTCGGGGAATGGTAGCCGGTTATGTAGGTTTCCGAGCCGGCATCGCCCTCGGAAAGACTAGGTCCGAACGTCGGTCAAAGTCGGGAGCGACGTCATTACACGTGCCAACGTGGCGCGCCTCCTCCCGCATGAATGGGCCGGGATGACGCAGGGGCGGCTGAGCAATGTGCCCGCTTGCCCGCTATCTGTATAGTGTTCAGCGTGCTCGACTCGGAGCGACTGCCTTGCCGTGTTCAACAGGTTTCACGAAAGGCAAGAACCGAGTTTGAGTTCCTGACTCCTGGGACAACCCCGAGCAGAAGCGAAGAAGTGTAAGAAGAGGTGCTATTGTACTCGATAAGGCTTGATTGTCTAGTCTGGAGAATGAGTCGACTCGGAGATGAGTATTAGGAGAACGACAGACAAGTGCGCTGATTTCGAAGACATGTTTTAATCACCAACTGAAAGGCGCGAGACCGTGAATTTCATTCACTAACTGAAGAACATCAAGTGAGCGATGACTTATCTTCTATTGCAATGCGAGTTGACTGCTACACAGGACCAAAATTACAAGACCAACCGAAGAAGAACAAGAGCAACATTCCAAACAACCCGAATAAAAATATCATAATCTTTACAAACCAGCTGCCTTCAGCATCGCTGGGAAGTTGGGTGACCCAAGCCCGGTAACAGGGTCCCAGCCCGCCTTGGCCGAGAATCCTTGCGTGCCACAGCCGGGGTTGGTCCCGCTCGTGATGTCGTTGAACATCCCTGGGTTTGCATACAACCACGGGTTCAGGAAGCCGAGCACGGGCTTGCCTGCCGCAAGGAGACGGTCATTGATCAGACCAATAACGGATGCAAAAATGGGTGAAGAGCATGATGTTCCATCGACCAGACCAGTTGAAGCATCCTGGACGATCCAAACCGACTCTCCGATGGCGGAGACATCAGGGTAGCCACGGCCAGTGGTGTTATATTTGCCGGCATACTGGGTGCCGATGGAGCTGATATAGGTTGAAACCGCGCTTGCCTCTGTGATTGGGATTAGCCTTCAGCAGAAATCGACCGAAATTTGCACGTACGCCATGACTGCGTTGCGAAGTAGTTTGAGAAACCACCAGCAGAGAGACTAGCACCAGTTTCAGGAGAACCGGTGGTAGCGCCAACGAGGGTGACGCTGTTTACGGATCAATTCAAGATTGGTGGAGGATGAAAAATGAACTGACAAAGGGCAGGTAGGGAAAGTCGGGAGGAAAGGCTTGTTGTTGCAAGACTCTCCGGGAGTAGCTGCAACACCACCGTCACCTTGAAACCCAATGATTTTAGACTAAAAGTTACTTGCAAATATCGGACTTACCTGAAGCGAAGAGAATGCTCACACCACGAGACGCCAGCTGCATATACGAGTCACACATGGCGCTATATACATGAAGATGAGCATTGAACCATGGTGGATTGAAGGTGAGACTGACAAGGTGAGGGATTTAGACAGCGATGCCTCGGTGTTGAAGCCGTAGCTAGTTGTGAGGACCTGTGGCGGAGCGCTTTCGGCAATTAGAGCGGTGATGATGTCAAGGAAACCCTCGTCAGCGCCGTCCTTGGTCTGTGTGCCGACAGATACGAAAGTGACTGGAACGCCAGTAGCAAGCCCAACGGTATATTGAATATCCAAATCTGTAAGGTCAGTGAGAATGAGTAAATCGAAACGATATGACTTACCAGCCTCAACACCTGCCTGGCTTCTGGTTTGACTGTTGGTTCCCCCATCAACAGATGTCAACGTGAAAGCCGTTGAAGAGCTCATGTCAGTGCGTTGGGCTTTGAGGAATTGGGTCAAGTCGGCCTGGTTAGCTGAAGAAAGGCTTGTTAGACCGTCCAGTTGGAAGGAATTCAAAATCTGCCCACCGAATTGGTCATCAAAGCCAGCAACACCAATAGAACCGGTTTTGTTGGTGGCAGCGGTGGTGGGGATGCTGTACAGAGCCTGAAGACACGTAGGCGTCATCGTGTTCTTGCAACTAGAGGGAACCGTAGCGCGCTCTTGAATCTTGGCAGCTTGGAAGACGGGACCAGAACGACGCGGAGCAGCAAATGACGTCGTCGGAGTTACGACTTTGATGTGGTTCTGAAGGGAAGCGGGAAGAGAGTATTCAAGGGTGCGGATGGAATCGACACCGCTTGCAGCATGGGTGAAGACATTGAAGTCGGCGTTCAACAGCTCGTTGGCCTTGGACACGGGTACCCGTATCGAAATCCAATCGCCAGATGCTGACAATGGTGTCGAGTCGATGCCATTGTCGGATAGCCACTGGTTAACAGCAGCGGTGGTTTCGTCAGTTGGGCGGGAGAAGGCCTCGACTTGTTCTTTCGAGAGCCACTGGCCGTAGGTAGGAGAAGAAGGAGTGGCTGCAGCCAAAACGGCGCTCTCGAGCCCCGCAAGGTCGTTTTGGACAAGGTTTATGCGAAGATTGAGGACCTCTTCACTGGGGGCAGCACCTTTGACCATGAAACCAAATGGAGCGGTGTTACGACGCTCATGGACCACGAGCGAGTCGCGGAGTGGCTTGGCAGACACCAAGGTCAAGGCGAATGCGACGATGTAGACCGCAAGCATTCTGGGGCGGAAGGAAGGACAGTTGCTTGGCCATTGCATCGTCTGCAATCATTTATAGTAGTCGTCGCTACTACTATCTTGACGATCCATGCGTAACCAACACTGTAAGAGCTATTCTTAGCTCTGCGGCAGCTTCGACTCGGAAGAATCTCTCCGAGTCGAGAAAGATCAACAGGTCTTGTGGAAGGAGGCATGCATGCTAGTTGTCCATGTGTTCTATCTGGATAAAACGGACTCTGAGCCTATTAGTTGATGGTAGTTTTTCTAGCGAAGCAACGACCGGGCGAAGCCACCTTTTGCAGTGTAAATTTCACCAGTATCAACGGTCCGTGGGTCAGACTGACCAAACAATGTTCGATAAGATGGATGGCCTGCGTGGTTGCATTCTTCTAGACGTGTGCTCGGCGCTGTTGAAGGCTCAACGATGGATGCATGGAGCAAAAGATGGATGGTCGTCGTCACACACATGCTGCGACAGAGTCACAGCCACAACCTTCTTCCCGAATTCATGGATTCGATTACAGTAGCCAATGAGAAGGCAAATGTGTGGCAAGATAAGCACTGCGAGTCGAGCTTCCTCGGTCCCGCAAGGCTCAGTAAAGGTAAGTAGAACATTGAACTTCTCAGACTTGAGTAACGGAGCAAGTGGAAACAAGGGGGTATCAGATATCAGAAAAAAATAAAGGAACATAGGTTGGACTTTTTGCTTAAGCCATGACTGTGACGTGACATTATCATATTTGGAAGGTAATTCACACACATAGTCATGTGATCTGATAGCATCAAACTAAGTTAATCCTCTGAATACTACAAGTATAATTGTCCGTGCCTATGGCATGGACTACAGTAATAAAAGGCTTTTGCAGCGCCCACACGGCCGCTTGCCTGCGGGCAGGCGGTATTCGAGGGGTGGCACGTGAATATCATGTGTTTCACGTGCGTCCGCATGACTTTCTGTCAATGCTGGCACCGTTGTGTTTTAATATATAAGATAGAATCCTAGCTATGCATATATCCTGTGGAGCAAGTCCTGATATAGTTATTGTTATCTAAATCTCACTCCAGAGTACAGACCCTTCCCCATACTATATGGCCTGATTTGATGCAATCTTCCATCTAATCATAATTACTGAAGATTATGAGATTATTAACACTGAATTATGGATGCATAGTGTACCAAAGAGTACTTATAAGGCACCCTAAGGCAGTTTTGACTCACAATTTTAGCCAAAAAGTTGCTATAGAAAAAAATTTAAGGGTTTGAAGGAGGGACTGACCAACCATCCCTGTTGTCACTTTCTGACATGTTGATGAATGCAGATTGCGGACAGCAAATAAGCTCTCTAACCAAACTAACCCACAAAAACAACCAAACTCCACTTGTTGTAGAGAGATATATATATAATGTTGAGTAAGAAAAGTCACAAAACCCAAAAATTGTCTTCTCCTTGTGCAAGAAGAGGCCCCTGTGAACAGAGCCCTTGGCACAGATGTGTAAGGTTGTAGGGTAGATACAAGTTTTCTTGCAAAAACTTTGATTTTGTGTGCCCCAAAGTGTACTATCGACAAAACTCTGCAATAGAGAAGTGCCAATATGATGCCTGGAGAGTTTATACTCATTGGATCAGGAACTAACTGCCTTAAACTATCGACCAGCAACCGAAACCCAATATGCAGCAACCGGACCTCTTGTATTCAGCAACCAAAACCCTCAACCAATAAATCCTTCAACGCGATAATACTATTTCGAAAGAGCTAGCAAGATAAATTGATGAGCTAGATCCCCAGATGCACCTAGTAGAGCGGGGCAATCCGTGAATCTTCCAAATACAAGATGGTGATATAAATACTAAACCGAAATTGATAGAATCAGGTAAAACCATGAGTAAGAAAAGTAGTCCATGTGCATAATTGTATTGGTATCGTTTTGCCATACAGCCCAGAGTTGAAATTCCAGGTCCAGATGACTGGTATCGCGTGTAGTGGTGTTAATGACCTGTGTAAATCTTCCATATTTGGACCATCTAGTTTTCCTTGTGAAGAATCCCTTGATCTTGAGTAGGATAAGTTGATAGCTCAGCTTCCCAGCTTTTGAATGACACCCATAACTCGTATCTTGTGCCTATGGCCTTAGCGGTGGTTGTCCCAACTCTCCTGGCGCAAACCCAGTGTTCAGATATCCAGTTCCTTATCAGTGTTTTAGAGTCGCCGTTGATTGCAGGTCCAGGCCCCAATCAATTGAGTTGGTTTCTCCTGTTTAACCGTCCCTTGGCACTCTTGATCCTCCAGCAAGATTCAAAACCACGTTCCAATGATGTCAGTCATCAATACCAACAGAGATAGGGGTGTCCCTTATCTAGGAAAAGTCGACTTTGAGTCTCCAGTGCATGCCAAACTGAATACACCTTTTAGTTTACATTCCCTTTGGGTATTTTGCATAGGATTGGATAGATCCTACATAGCGAGAAACAGGCTCTGCAAACTTTTCTTAGTCAAGATTTCAGAATCACTGAGAGTGATCTGATAGATTTCGACTGGTTCCTTGGCAGATAACTCCCTAGTTGACCATTCGGGACTCATGTCAACTCTGAGATATGTGCTGAGCAACAAAATCAACAAAAAGAGTTGTTTCCTGGTCTGTCCCAGACTGTGCAGTGTGGCTTATCAGTGTCTCCAAAGCGAAGACTGTGCTCGTTAAAGCCAAGGACAAGTATAAACAGTACTACAATCGGAAATGTTCGGATGCCCCAAGTATCCAAGTCAGTGACAAGGTTTAGCTCGACGCCTCTGACATTAGAACGACTCGGCCCTCTGAGAAGTTCTCACATAAGCGCCTTAGGCCATTCAAGGTACTCGCAGAGGTTAGCAAGGGCACCTACAAGCTAGACCTTCCCCCGTACTACTCCAAGCTTCACCCAGTCTTCCCCGTTGTTAAGCTTGAGCCCGCTAAGGACGACTTCTTTGATGGACAACCTGGTTACGACAAACCACCCCCCGAACTAGAGAACGAAGTCCCCGAATAAGAAGTTGAGGAAATTTTGGACGCCAGGATAAGGTATAAACAACCTTAATTACTTTGTCAGGTAGAAAGACTACGATGCCTCACACGACTTGTGGGTTCGGTTCGACCGCGTCTTCGCTCCAGACAAAGTTGCGGACTTCTATTGGAGATACCCAGGTAAACCGCGAAACATTGCCTCAGCAACTTTCGACTCACTATCCTTCCATCTTATGCGTCGGGACGCCACATTTAAAAGGGGGGGTGATGTCAGGGAAACCCCCCGCTTCGTCCTCCTTCAGACCATCCAAACACATCCAAGGCACATCTAACCGGCACCCCCTCGGATGCTCTGATCCACCCCAACCCTCGTCCTCAGCCTCCTTCACCCGCACAATCACCAATCCATCAAGACCCTCCCAACAATCAGCTTGGGAGGGGTGTGGGACAGAGCCTGTGACGGCGCTCAGGCCTTCTGCACTCTACATTGGCAGTTACGGATGACCAGTATATAGTTGGCGCCCTAGCAGGCGGACCCTTAGAGTTTCTTCTCTTTGGATCCTCCCCTGCTAGTCCCTCCATATATTTCCTGTAGCTTTTATTCATGCTTTGGATCCTCCCCTGCTAGGCTTTTGTCAGAGTCTCCAGGGTTGCCCTTACAACAGCATTGAGATTCCCTTTAATACAGACCAATTTGCTAACACCATCTGGCCCAATTGCCCCCAGAGATTCAATTTAACCTTGTTCTGACCATGGGTGAGATGCCGACAGACACTCTGCTCACTCCAGACATGTTGTCCACACCTTCGTCGCCGCCATATTTGCCCGTCAGACCCAGCGAGGATGATTTTGGTCGCATCTGAGAGTTGATGAGGACACCAGAGCGGAAGGTGTTGTTGTTGGCCCATGTCTTATGGCGGTAATACATGTCCTTTTACTGTTGGAGGTGTCGGGGCTACAGGTCAGGCTTTTTGCGGCAGACTGAGCCCAGCACATTTTGACAGAGTATTTTGCATCTGTACATGAATAAGTTCATTAGAAACATGTGAGACATACATTTTGGGATGCACTGTACACACAGTAGGATGTCTGGAAACATCGCTCGCTTCACGTCAGCCCCATCCAGCAGCTCCTATAGACCAATAGTACTACTTATGCTCAGACTTAACTCAGACTGATGCTGGCTACTGTGCCTATAGGTAAAGGCCAGATAAAATAGATATACTCCCCCCAATAGCTGTTTAGTACCTTAGTAGCTATAGCATACTTGCCTGCAGAATAAAAATATGATTAAAAAAGAAAATAAAAATAGTCACATGATAGTATTAGTATCCAGTCCACTAAGTGGTCAGACCAGGCACCACAGTGCCAGCATATCCAAGACTTATCATAAAACAGGTAGGTAGTTAGGCAAAGAAGAAGGAAATCTCTGATTTCTATGCTTACACCTCAGTATTGAATAACTGTAAGGTTTATGACCCTATGGAAATCAAGCAGTACCAAAGCATTGGAAAAGAATTTGGGACATATCAAATGGCATATACAAGATTATAGAGCTAGTAGTTGATAGATCTTCCAAGCAGTGGCAAAATCACGGAGAATAAGACGAGGTGGAGGGAACCTTTCTTGTCCCTAGCTTTTCCGCCTCCCTACATTTTCTACTCGCAGCTTCGATTGCATCCGTCCACACTAAAAACACGTTAATTAATCTCATCTTGAGCGAGTAAACCAGCACTTACGCTGACAGTCCCGCACACTAGATGCTCTTAAAACCACGGCATCGCCTCCGCGCGGGTACGGAAGCGCGACTTGGAAAATCGTGTCATCTCGATTTCCGGGAGCATCTTTGACCTGGGCCTCATTGAGCGGTATCGGCTGCCCAAACAATCAGCGAAACATGAAATGTGGACCGACACACAACTGACCATGCGGTAGAGCGTCTTCATCCCCGCATCCGTCAACACCAAGATATCACTGCACAAAAACCCGTGCAGTTTTCTCCCCACTCTTTCCCTTCATCAACGGGCCCTCCTTCAACAGCCTCCTTGCACCCATATGTCTTGTCGGCGCAGTCAAGTCCAGCCTCCCCTGCCCGATCCACAAGTTCTGCGAAATGCGCTTCAGTGTCTCACGACCCTCCTGCTCCCTGATCGACTCGTTGATATGTTCAAGAATCTTCTCTGCAGTGGTGATCGATTTGTGGACAGCCTTGTGTTCGGTCCCCAGCTCGGTATAGCTCAGAATCTGCTTGATGAGCAGTGGGTAACGTGTGATGCGTTGCACTGTGGCGGGAGTTAGATATGCCGATGGCCGTTTTGAGACATACTTGGCGCAAGCAGGTAACTCGACAAATCCAGATTCCTTACAAGTGGATCTTCTTTGAGGCGCTACAGTGTGTCAATGTAACTGTTGGGTATGGCTGTTTCCAATCATACCTGTAGATGACTCGCCAACTCTGGATTCGAGTCCCGCAACGACTTGAGCACCTTGATAGCGTTGCCTTGGTTGACGCAGTACTCCATGTAGACAGCCATATTCGACATGTGGCTCTGAAGAATGTCACCGATTCGGTCAACATACAACCTGCATTCCTTCTGGCGCTGCTCCAGCTCACTCATGAAGGTCTAACCAATCAGTTGGGAAGAAAACAAAGGATGGTAACACACACAGTATTGGTCAACAAGATGTCCTCGATGTTTGCAAATACGACTGTGATCGCTTTCCGCTCTAAAAGAGGCATCATGCTCGAGTAGAATGTCTGACCATGCGGTCAAGCATTGAACCAAGACACAGCAGAAGACCGACCTCGACGATGAGCTGTAGGTCTTTCACGTATGTCTCCTCCGTAACGATCAGTTCAAATATCGCTTCTTGCCGTTTGCGCTCCATAGTTGGGATCCCTTCCAACGCCGACTTGTCAACCAAGCTAGCCCATGACTGGACCCTGGATAAGAACAAAGTGAACAACAGCCTGGGAATGACACTCACACTTCCAAACGCCGGACTATTCGACCTAGACCCATATCCATTCTCGGGAGTCTGTAATATTGGCCCGGATATCGTCGCCTTGCGATCAGCAACAGAGACACCCTCCCCACTATTGGGTGTCTTCCTGCCCAAAAAGTTGAGCAGCTGCGAATAGCCCCTCCCCACGCCTTCACTGCCCGTTGATGTTGATGTTGTCATCACCGATGGACTTGACGGTGACGGCGGTACCGCAGGATTTGTCTCGATTGAAGCAACCGACAACCGCTGGTGGTGGCCGCGGAAGGACTCATACCTATCATATGCATCGTCCAGCGCCAGTTCTGGCAGCGCGGGTAGGTCCTTCCCAGACGAAGAACTTGACACAACAGACGAACGGTCAGCTAATGGCGCGGCTGGTGGTGGTCTTCTGCCCGGCGCTTTGTCTTTTGAGCGTCGTCGTACTGGTCGTGGAGGCGGCTGAACATCTTTCTCCTTCTTCACTATCAATCCCGCAGCCTCAAGCACCCGTTGACGTTCGTGCTCCCTCGCATCAGAGTCCGCCTCGTTTTCTGAATCGTCTTCGCTCAGTGAGAAATAGTCGTCATCTTCGTCGTTGTCAGTCGATGTGTCGTCGTCAGGAACTTCAAGATCCAATTTGGCGATTGTCGTTTGTGGTGATGTTGAGTATGATGTTGATTCTAAAGTCGGTCTATTGTCATCTAAACTTGCCTCATTAGCCCTTATACTGCCTTCTGTTGGCGATTCAGAAAAGATTGCGGGAAAATTCCGATTTGGTTTGTGTGAAAGGAGATACATGAAAAAAAGAACCAGAAAACATGTTCAGCCTATATCCAAACAAAAGCGGGGGGTAAGAAAAGGATGGACTCAATGGGAAATCGAATGAACCACTAACCCTCCATCGACAGGTATGCGGCAGGCACGATGTAGACCGTGCCAGCCCGCTCCACCTTCCACCACTCCTCCTCGCTCGCATCGATTATATCCAATGTTTCACCTTCTGCGAATGATAACTCGTCCGTGTTTGAGGCGTTATAAGCATAGATGGCCTTGGCGGTAGCTACGAAGCCAGTTATAAAAAGATTGATGAGAAAAGGACGACATACTGGGTTGGATTTCTGCAACGTAGGTCTTTGGGAACATCCCTGATCGTCCATCGCGAAGTGACCTTCCGAACCACCAATCGCCACCTGTTTTAGACGGATTGGCGATTAAAATGTCGTTTTCCCCGAAGGCTGATTTTAAGTCTTCAACTCTGACTATTGAAGGGAGAAATACGCTCACTGATATCCTCGGCACCATCGCCCTCGTATGCATATAGCGTGCGAACTTTCAACTCTGTCCAAAACGAGTCAGGTGTGTCTCGATGAAAGGGGGCAACTTACCAACAGTCCTATCGACGTCTGCCATCAAGTCAGACTCAGACTGGGGAGTAGACTCGTGATCCTCGACATGAATATCGGGGACAGATGGTGGAGGCTGCGGCTGAGAAAAGTGGGGCTCGTATGGTTCTTCAACCTCTTCGCTCATTGAAGGCATTCTGTCCACTACAATGGGTGTCGAATCAGCTGCGAGTCCAGCATACCAGTCAACGGACTGACGATTACTATTGTTCGACATGGACATAGATGGTGGCTCGGGAGAGGGAGCGCGTGGGGCAACATTGATATGGGCCGGGACCTCCGATCCACCAACAACCTTTCCAGACACTGATGGCCCGCTTTTGTCGACGGTGACAGTCTTGCGAAGAGATTTGCCGCCTTGAATGGCAAGCAAAAGCGCACTTGTGTCTGGTCTCGCAGCAGGTGCAGAAGTTACACCCATTGCTGGCGGTGGCGGTGCTGGAGGAGCCATAGGGGGCGCCGGAGGAGCCATTGGAGGAGCGGGTGGTGGTGGAGGTGGTGGTGGCCCAGCACTAGCTGAAGCGGGAGTTGCTGGAGTTCCACTTCGCGAGCCTCCAGCTGGACCAGGTGAAGGCGCGCTAGGTAAGATGTTTTGGAAAAGCTGTTTTGCAAAATCCTTCCTGGCGTCCCTGGACGTTAACGGATCATCACTGTCACTGTCGTCGTCGTCTTTCTCTTGAATATCTTCCCAGTCATCATCGAGACTGTCCTTCGGAGCAGTGTGATAACTCGATTTGGTGTTGGAAGCCGCCGTCGGGAAAGGATTGGTCCGAACCGGGGCAGCTGAAGCTACAGAAGGAGTAGCAACCGGCGTGGAAGAAGAAGCTTGAGCCCAAGGATTAGTCGATGGAGCAGTCGCAGGTGTTGAGGCAGCGGAACCTCCCTCCTTCATAAATCGACTGAACGGATTTGTCCCGCTTGCTTTTTCTGGAGGGGTTGTAACACTGACAGGCGCCGGTGGAGGTGTTGGAGCAACGACCATAACCGGTGATGGCGACCTTGTGCTGACACTCGCGACGCTAGAGTCACGATCCCGTTCTTTGGCTGCTTGAGCATTTTTCCTAGCTTGAATTCGCTTCTGCATCTCTTCTTCATCCCTCCTCGCCTGTTCTTCTTCTTCTTCCATCATTTTCCGTAAGCGCTCTGCCCGTTCTTCACGCTGTTTCAACAATGCTGCCTCCTTCTGGCGGAATAGTTCCTCTTCAGGGTCGACTTCAGGCACGACTACCTTAGGTGGTGCTGGCGCAACAGGAGTAATACGTGGCTTTGGTGGTGGAGGAGCCGCTTTCTGTCGAATAGGCGGAGGCGGAGCTGATTTTGGTTTAGGTGGCGGCGGGACTGCCTTTGAAGTGGGCGTTGGTGCTGGAGGCGCGGCAGAAACAGTTTTAGTTGGGGTCGGAGCAGTCGCGCCTCCGTCTTTGACAGCCTTTTCATTCGCAAGTCGGCTTTGTCTCGCGGCTTCCCTCTCCTCTGCTTCTTTACTAGCGATTCTGGCCTTTTCTTCAGCTTCCTTCTTCTCTTGGGCAAGTCGCTCTTCAACACTCGAGTCCACGACAGCGGGAGACGGAGTGGGTGTCACACCCAATGCTTTCATACGCTCTTCTACCCGTCGCCTGGCTTCAGCACGAGCAAATGCTTGCCGTTCCTCAGGCGTCATATTCTTTGTCGCTGGGGCTGGGGAGGCTGCGGGAGGGGCCGGTGAGGGTGAAGGAGCTGGACGAGCCACCGGAGCTGGTTCTGGAGGGGCGGCACTTCGAGGACGTTCATAATCGCGGTCCCGGTCACGTTGTCGGTCTTGATCACGGTCGCGGTCACGATCTCTAGAAGGTGAACGACGACGATACGAGCCTCTGTCGTAATCTCGGTCTTCGCGATACCCACCGCGAGAATATGGCCTGTCGCGGTCACGATCTCGGTCATCCTCATACCGCCTGTGATCTCGGTCACGGTCATAACGATCACGGTCATCGTCTCTGTCTCCAAATCGCCCAAACCTGTCGTTGCGACGATCCCTGTCCCTCGCATACTCCCTTTTCTCCCTATCACGGCGCTCCTCCCGAGCCTTAAGCTTTCGCTCAACCTCCGGCACCCGGACATGCGTCAGCTCCATTAGCTCACGCTCAAGCTTACGCTTTTCCTCGTCCTTGGCGGCTGAGCGGGGCCCACGGGAGACATAGTCCAAATCCTCGCGAATACGATCAACGCGATACTTCAGGTCATCCATTTCCCTTTCAAGCTCCTCGTCCTCAGCTGTTCGCTGTTTGTCTTGTTCTGCAGCTCGATCCAGCATTGACGCGGTATTCGCCAATGCCCGCTTCATGTCATTCAAGTCTGCTGAGGAAGAGTTGAGTTCGGCAGTTGCCCGTACATCGTCTCGGTTTAGGTGACGCGAGCGGGGTTTGTAGGCCGACTGCGAGTCATCATGGCGATATATTGTCGCATCTCGACCAGCTGGAGTTGAAGTTGTGTTGGTAAATGATCGTTGCGGCTGATATGAGACTTCGCTGTTAGGTGTGCGCGAGCGAGGCTCATTCTTGAGCAAGTCGGTCAACATATTGACCGAGTCCTCGATGGCGGTAACAGAAGGGGGGATGAGTTCGGGAGGGAGTTGGTCAGGAATCTCGCTGCCATTGAGCCCTGTAAAGAATGGTGAATTTTACATCAGAAAAATGGCAAATAATACGCACTGCGATAGATGATACCCATAGCGACATGGAACTCGGCGATGTTGAGCTTGCCTCTGTCATCGACATCTGCCAGACCCCAGATCCTTGCGAGATCGTCCTTCGAGAGCCCACTTTGCCCAAACACCTCCAATGCTGTCTTTCCATCGATAAACCCCGTCCTCTGTGCATCCCAAGCCCTGAAAATTTGGTCGTATTGCTTCTTTTCAGCTTTCCCGAGTGCCCAAGACACACGTGGTTTCTGGGTCTGCATTTGTTGAAACGACTGTTGAAGAGATACCGGTTGCTGCGGCTGAAGCTGCGGTGCGCCTCCGGCTCCATAGGGAGAGCTGATATTCATGGGCATGAATGAGTTGGACATCATCTGCAAACGCGGGTCGACGAAACCCGTGGGCTGTGCGACGAGTCGTTGTCCGGGAAAACCCGTTGCTTGAGGCATTAGCCCTCCGCCCCCCGGCGACGGCGAAGTATTAAGAAAACTTCGATTAGGCAGTTGTGGGTTAAGGAAGTTACTGCCTTGTCCTTGAAACTGAGTCGGGAGTGATGGAACGGGAGGAGGAGGCGGGGCTGGACGGTGTTGGAAGCCACCGTAACCAGTGGGCTGACTTTGCACAAAGCCGGTTTGCTGCATGGCCATGGGACGGGGAGGAACATATCCAGTCGGTTGGGGAACCAATCCAGGAGCTTGCTGGAATTGCTGTGGTTGCTGGAATTGGCCAGGTGCTTGTTGGAATTGACCTGGTTGTTGTGGCTGCTGTTGGAAGTTGGCATTCACGCCGGGGTACCCAGTCTGCATGGGATACTGGTACCCAGGCTGCTGCCATTGGGACATGGTTGGCGGGAGGGACGAGATGATCTTGGGCTGCGCGTCACAGTCACGCGCTGTAACATCATTGTTGCTGATGTGATCACTTCGTCAAGACACTTACTTAGTCGGACGAAAAGATGGTTTGTAAATGCACGCTGCTAGCAAGAGCCATGGTAATTGCTCGGTATCGAGCTTTTGAGTTGTTCTGATCACTTTCAGCTCAGGCCGCATGGCATTCATGTTTCGATTCCTGTGGACGACTTCAAGTTTTTCTTGCTACAGTAACGACAGTTATATCCGCAACTCTTCAAGTCAGAGAGTGAAACTGACATGTTTGGCAAGCCAGGGAGATATCCTTGCTCGAGCGGCGAGTGCCCTTCCACGAGTTAATCAAAACCCAAAGCCGCCGTCCGTTCTCCAAAAGTTCAAATAGAATCGTGATTGTCACGGTCAATGGTTCAACTTGTCGCCTTGGAATCCAATCAGTTGACTGCCCTTTCCGAGTCAAGTTCAGCTCCTAAACACTTTTAACGCTGTGCTCTTGCGGTGATGAACTTGCATGGAGGCTTTATTTGCACCATTTCGTGTAGTGCCAATCACTAGGTCTCTTTGGACTGATCACAAAAGGAAACGAGTATTGGCGCCACCGTAATTTCGTGGAGTTCATCTTGAAGTAGACGATATCCCGACGGAAGCCAGGAGCAACAAACAGTCAGTCAAGATTATCCACACTTCGTTGAGATCGCCCGGCAACCTAACGACATTCCGCCAACTCCGCAATTTCCGACTTTCCACCGCTTTCCGCCGTGTCTCCCGTTCCCAACACGGGTACACACATCTCCGAGAACCGGATTGTGCGTTGTCTTTGTTGCAATATCCGAGCCCGAGGTGTCAACCGACAACTTAGCCGCCTTATCCTGGCCTGATGGAAACATTATTTGGACCTTTCATCCGGGAAGAAAGTCCCCGAATACCCGCCTGATGCGCCATCACTGCTACAGAAGACGGCCAATAGGGACCCAATACACGGCAAATCGAAGGTTCTATGTTTCTTTCATGGAGTTGGGATTTGTCGACCTTTAGTCAAAAAGAAAAGAGGGTCCAATCTTCTATTCTATATCACAACCTGCCCACAAAGCCTTTCATCCAAACCGGCCTCGACACGGCGTCATCACCGGCAATCGTTCGGCCCCGCGTTCGGTCACTTGTCACACTTCACATCCCGTCTTATGCCATCCACCCAAATCACCCCACGGGGATTTTGTTGGCTCAAGTGATGAACTTGCCGACTCGGCGAGTTGCTCGGGCACTGCACCTACTTAGCTGTCTCCAACTGCGTCGAAAAATGGCAACAAATTCAGAAACAGCTCGAGCTAAATGCCTCACCACCCACACGACTCAACTGCCACTGGCGAAAATGCGAAAACTAAGAGCATGGAACGTGGAAAAGCGTGTTACAACTGCCGACGTAGGAAAATGGTCGGTTCCCGATTGGGTTGGCGGTGACGATTTTGTCTGACGAAGCATTCAACAGAGGTGTGATGGGCTACAGCCGGTTTGTGGCCCTTGCGAGCGGGCTGATCGTCACGACGATTGTGAATATACTTATCATGGCGGTCGGGCAAGAGCCGAAATTCTGCAAGAAAGCATCAACCGTTTGGAGAGTCGCATCCAGGAATTAGAGCACCCACATCTCGTCCTACCCCACATGACGGTCAAATTACAACAGCCATACACAAAGGCGACAGGAGTCTCATTTGGTATCTCAGCCACCGCGATTTATTTGCACACGTTTGACTTGACTGTAGACTCTTCGCCCCTCCAAGAGCCACCGTTTGATGTCATCGCGAAACTTGTCGACTGTTTTCTATCATACGCATCGGAAGTAGGATTCTTCCTCAACGCAACGCGATTCAAGGATTCCGCCATACTAAATCATCCCCTAAATAGCTCTTCTCGACCATGTCCCGCACTCCTTTTTTGCGTCTACCTCTGGGGAGTCCGTTTCTCGAAGAACCCCCAGCTTATGGCCCGCGAAAGCCAACTTCTCTCTTCTGCTCTAGAATTGACATCTACTGCGCTGTCTGGCCTCCATCCACAAAGAGTTATGCACACGTTACAAGCCGAAGTGCTTCTCGCGCATTATTTCTTTGCCTCTGGCCGTTTTTTGGAAGGCAAATACCACACAGCGTCAGCAATATCGCTTGCGCTGAGTAGCGGCTTACATCTCATACGATCTAAGAAAGCCCACAACGCTTATGGACGACTTTCTGCTCCGCGCGACATCATCGAAGAAGGGGAACAAATTCACGCTTGCTGGGCTGTGATGATACTCGACAAGACATGGGCTGTCGCTCTGAGCGAAGATGCCCACCACGATTTACAGAATTCCAGTTGCTGTATCGACTCCCCTTGGCCACTCGAATGGGACGAGTACGAACAAGGTCGGATGGAGACCAATTCCAGATATGAGAACACCGTCGATAAATTTCTTGATGGTTCTCCGACATCGGATTCTGGAACATCGACGGTGGCTTTGCTCAGCAAGGCCGCACTGCTGCTGCAACGCTCCAACAAATTGGCTCGTCAAGTCAGACCCGGTATGGCTTGCATTTGGTACCCCTTCTTGTTACTCACGATATGCAAAGATATGTCCCCCACCGAGATTGCCACCTTCCAATCGATATTCTCCGCCCATGATGCGTTAATCGATTCATTTCACTCTACACTCATCTCCCCGCACTCTGTGCATAACCCGACACCCGCCAAACTTCGAGCTTTGCTTCTGGTGCATAGTTTCATCCATGCTGCTACTTTACAGCTCCACGCAATCCCGCCGCTACAACACAACGGAGCATCCCGAGCCAAACGCAGAGCCGCCTCGCAAGGTATACTCGGTGTCGTGCTTGCATTCCCCGCACAACTGACTGATTACGTCAACCCTGTAATCGGAGTGCGTTGACTGTTTTCTCCAACTTTATTAAGGGATGACTCACCTAACGATAGACAATGTGGACCGGTGCGTTCCAGGAGTTCATAGAAGGTCCATACGACTTGGGAGACTCCACGACTCATGTGCGCACATTGCTGGGAAGAGCATTGGACGCAATCCGGCCCTTCAAGGCCACGTGTCCGCTACTCAGTAAGCCGTTTGTCTTCAGAGGATCAGACACGGAAGTGACCTTGTAGGCTATCAAATTGCTGCTATCGAAGACGCTTGCGGGACACTTTAAATTATCAATATATATTCTCTCCGCCGAAGGGTTGAACACAATTGTACCACGCGAATCAAGTAATATACCCATGACTCCATTCTCTCTGTTCTTGCAAACGCGAAAGAAAGATAAGAATATACTCAGGAGAAGTCACGTCACGGGACCGTGTCCGTGTCCTGAGAGTGACCAGACGTTTCATTAGAACTACAACTTGACTTGGGCAGCAATGTCTTGACGAGTAAAGCGTCCGCCTCCATCGACAATGATTTGAGCGCCAGTGACATGTACGGCTGCCGGGGAGGCGAGGAAGAGTGCGACGCCAGCCATGTCTTCCGTTTGTCCCAAACGACCTATAATCCGACCCGTTATCTTTCCGAATTGAGTGGCAGGCAAATAACCCTACCGGTGGGCTGGCCCGTAGCGAGAATCTCTTTGCCCGCAGTTTTGAGGCCATAGGCGGTCATTTTACTTGGGAAGTATCTGTCATCCTCGTTCAGTTGGGTTCGACGTGCTTGCAGACAAGGAAACCATACCCAGGCAGAATGGCGTTTACACTAAATAACAGCAGAAGTACAAGCAACATGCCAAAAATGCAAATGGACCTACGTAACTTGGCTTGGGCCTAGTTTTACCGCCAGTTGTGTTGTGAGGTGGTTAACGGCAGCTTTGCTGGGTTGGTCTGGAGTCGAGTGAGGCACTATCAATATCGTACCCAACAGAAACACTAACAGCTCCATGTTCCATTGCCATTTTCGCTCAGCAAGTTCTCGCTATGAGGAACGACAGAGTCTGTGGATGATATGTTTATAACGCGTCCAGGATCGTTGGCTGTTGCGCCTTTCGTCAAATAGTCAGTCAACCTTTCCAGATTAAGTGAAGCTTGAAATAATGAGTGATTTCGTACCCAGCAGTCACTAAAAACATCCATTTGATTAGTTTCGAAAGAGATATGGGCCCGGGTGACACACTATAGAATATACTCTTCACGTTGACTGCAAACACGTTGTCCCAACCCTTTTCTTCCGGGAAGTCGTTAAATGGAGCGCCCCAAGTGATCCCCGAGTTGTTGACAAGAACATGCAACTTGGCTTCGCGTCTTTTGAATTCGGCAATGAGGGCGTCACATCCCGCTTTCGACTCGGATCGAGTTCAATTGCAAGTCGAGCAGAGGACCCGGAAATCGCGTACCCCGACATTGGCGACAATGTAGTCGACTTTCCCTCCGCCAAGTTGTTGGAGGTCCGCCACGGCCTATGTCCTCTCAATGAGCATTGGCATTATAAATATCATGTTTTCCGGAACAACCTCTTGTAGTTGTTTCTCCTTGCGTGCAGCGATGTAGACCGTTGCTCCATTCTTGACAAACCCGGCAGCGATCATCTTTCCAATTCCGCTCCCTCCACCGGTGACCAGAACTGGCAAATGGCCCTGGCTATTAGCCATAAAATGACTGGCGAAAGAATCATACCGGTTTTGCCTTGGACATTGAACAACGAAGAAGTAGCTGGTCCTATAGTGAGCATTCGGAAACCAATAAGAAAGACAGAACGGACCTAACGTAGACATCGTAAATAAAAGAAGACGGTAGTACGAGAAGCAGAGCACAAGCAAGTATTGGTCCGGTTTTGTAAAGGCCGGAGGTGGCGGTGCATGCTTAGGGCCCGGACTGGCCCGGATGATCACTCAGCACGACTCCGTTGTTTCGGGATTGCGACTTGTACAGTTTTCTAAAACTCAAACTTCTCCCCAATTATCCCCTCCGTTAGCTCCCACAATTGAGCTGCTTTCCCCTTAAAGTCAATCAGATATTCGTCCCATAAGCACATTCAACCAGACTCACTGCATCAGAAGTATGCGGAGCGACTTCATCCATAGCAACTTGGCAGTCGTCCAAGTATGCGCCAGGCGTCGAGTCCAGACGAGGATCAAAAGCCGCCACGACAGTTCTGAACACATATATAACACTCTAAAATAGATCTCCAAAAACCTTACGCACGTTGCAGCACCTTCTTCGATGGATTTCCAAGGAAATTTATCAGACATAGGATTGCCTTGCTCACTAATCAAACCAATTGAGCTGAGTTCCGGGGGAAATGAGTTGGTCTCTTTCATTCGCATGAAAACGTTGGTGTAGATGACTAGATGACGAAGTTAGCCATGTTTACTAATGTTTATCACTTCAAGACTGGTTTACATACCTCCAGGATGCAAACTATAGCCATGAATTTTGCCTCCGGATCTTCTCGACAGCTCACTGGCCATCATGATATTGGCACTCTTGGTCGAGAAATAGATGCCCATCTGACTATTTCCCTCCACCTTTGGATCAGGACGACCCAAGTTCTCCAAGTCAACACCAACACCAAATTGGTGCCCCTTGGCAGACACGTAAACAACCCGAGGCGTCCACTCTGACGATTTAGCTGCATGAAGCTTGGGAAGGAGGAGTTTCGTGAGAAGGAACGGTCCAAAGTGATTCGTCGCCCATTGAACATCGACGTCAAGATCTGCTGTGCGCTGACTTGGAGCGCCAAAATTGGTGGTAGCAGCGTTGTGGATAAGGACCTATATAGTCGCTGCTTAGTGGGGGAAAAAGAAGCATGATTGAACAGAAGAGGGACGTACATGAAGGTGGTCCAAGTCTGCACTCACTTGGGCTGCCGCCTTGCGAACGCTGTTCTGTGACAATAGATCGAGGATAAGGCAGCGAATGTTGGCTGTAGGAACGGATTTCTTGATCTCATCAAAGGAGCGCTTCAATCTGAAGGTTGGTGAGCTTTGCAACGAAGAAGATAAGTGTCAGGACCAACCTCTCCTCGTTGTAGCCGGTGATTATTACAAGGCCAGCATATTTTGCTATGGCGCGCGCGGCTTCATATCCTACTCCATTGAGCGATGTCCCAGTAATGAACACTGCGGCGATTCGTCAGAACGTCAGGTTTGATATATCCACCATCTACCGTTTTTGCCACGAAGAATCGATGCAAACGTGTCTGCGACCTCTTCAGCGGTTGTATGAAAGGAAAACTTGGGCCAGGAGTCTATGGTCATCCTCGAACAATGGTTCAAACTTGGGCGCCGTGCCCTGCTTTATAAGGAGCAGCGGAGTCTGGAAAGGGCGCCGCGTTTGCTTATTGATAGTGTATCCAATTGGCCAGTCAACGGCCAGTCGGAATAGTACCAAGGATAGTAAGACTGCGAAGCGGAGGAGGTCATAGTCATTTCGTGTTGTGGGCTGAAAGAGAGACCGAAGCACGTGTCGATATTCGAATTCAATCACTTGGGTCAAGTTGGCAATTTCAACTTCAAGGTTTCTTTTTCGAATGCGTGCAGGTGTTGCTTTGAAACCGTTACCGTTTCGTAGATGTCTGGTTTCTTCATCCACATAATGACTCGATAGTAGTAAGCATCTCATCTTGAATACGCAGTTTGACTTAACAGACTTCGCCTGTGCCAGAGCGAGGCAATATGAGTCGGCGATCAGTGAATACGGCGTCAACGGAACGAATAAAAACATTCTAATAAGAGTCCGTTCGTCTAAATGCAACTTTCAAAACTCGAACTTCTCTCCGATTATCTCCTCTGTCAAATCCCACAACTTGGCTGCTTTGACCTTCAAAAAATATAGCTCCGTGGATTCAATGTTCAAGGGTGAACTCACTGGGTCGGCAGTATGTGGTGCGACTTCGGTCATGGCAACCTGACAATCTTCGAGGTATGCACCAGGTGTCGAGTCCAAACGTGGGTCAAAAGCGGCTGCGACCATTCTAACAACCATGTCAGCATCGGACCAAGGCCAAACAGCGTTACGCACGTCGCAGAGCCTTCTTCAATAGATTTCCACGCGAACTTGCCTGGCACGGGATCCCCATTCTCGTCGATGAGTCCAATGGCGGTTAGCTCTGGAGGAAGCGACTTTTTCTCCTTCGGCCGTGTGAAGGCATTCGAGTACACGACTAACAGACCACACATCAGTCAAAGCTGCCAATGATTAAAATGAAACCTACTTCCAGGATGCAGACTATACGCGTGTATTCTGCCTCCGGCCCTCCGTGACAGCTCGCTCGCCGTCATGATATTTGCACTTTTGGTGGAGAAATTGATGCCCATCGCGCTGTTTCCTTCAGCTGTGGGATCAGGACGACCCAGGTTCTCCAAATCTACACCGGTTCCGAACTGGTGTCCTTTTGCGGACACGTGAACGACCCGAGACGTCCAACTTGACGATGTGGCCGCGAGAAGCTGGGGAAGTAGGAGCTTGGTGAGCAGGAATGGTCCGAAATGATTTGTCGCCCATTGAACATCAACGTCGAGATCGACCGTGCGTTTAAACACGGTGTCGGCATCCAAATTCAGGGCAGCAGCATTGTGAATGAGGACCTGATCGACGAATACTGAGTGAGGAGAAGCAAATAAATAGTCGACGCACATGCAAGGGCTCCGAATATGAATTCACTTGAGCGGCAGCTTCACGCACACTACTCTGCGAGGACAAGTCAAGCGTAAGGCAGCGGATATTAGCCGTCGGGACAGATTTCTTGATCTCTTCCGCTGAACGTTTCAACCTAAAGAGTTGCTCAGTTTGCGGGTTTAACTGAGTGCACATAAAAGACAAGCCTGTCTTCGTTATATCCTGTGATGATGACAAGCCTGGCGTGTTTTGCTATGACGCGTGCGGCTTCGTATCCCATCCCGTTGAGAGAAGTCCCAGTAATCAGCGCTATGCCTCGTTAGAACATGAAGACAGATGAAGATCGACGCCTACCATTTTTGCCCTCCAGAATCGACGCAAATGTGTCTGCAACTTCTTCGGCAGTTGTTTGCGGCGAGAATGTAGGCCAAGTTTCTGTAGGCATTGTCGGCTGACAGTTCATGAGCCAGGTTATCTTTTATATTCGAGTGCTTCGACGGAATCTGACTCGACATTCGTGACTATACTCAAAATGGCAAAGCCGCTCAAACTAGCAGATCGTCGGTCATGGTGTTTTCGCCATTAAACGGCGATCGGGATTGTACCGGGAGGAGTAAAGAGGTTGTGCAAGTGTTGAATACACGTTCGGCGATGGGCGGGACTCGTGCTAAACAACATATTCTGCTCGGAGCCGGAAGTCAGACTCGGGACATCAAATTTGGCGTTCTGCGAAACACTTCGATGGGTTTCTGGATGTAAAAGACAGTGAAAGGAGGGAGGGAAATGAGGAAAGGAAATGTGACAGAAATGTGATAAGACTCACGTGACACTCATTCTCTGCTCAATCCACCTTGTTCCCTCTCCCAATAACGCGATTTCCACGGCTCTCAAGAATGCCGGCGATACGAAAGGTCTCTGCACGCTTATCATCTCTTGCGAGCCCCTATAATGTCGGTGTCACGCTCTTCAAACTCGAAGAAGACGAAGTCAAGATGGATGTGGATTTGGGAGCGTTGCCGAGCACTCCACAACGGGAAAAACGCGCGGCGCGAACAGCCAAGAAGGAGGAGGACGCGGGAAATGACTTGAGCACGCTTCTGACAATAGACGACGACGATTTCAAACCGTTACTGTCCACACCTCCGCGAAAGCGCGCTCGAACCTCATCTTCTCCCTCCAAATCTCCCCGCGCTAAGCAGAGAGTGTCTCCTGGCAGCAAACCAGCCGCGAAACGGAAGGCATCTGGATACAAACGGCCACTCGCAACCTCAGACCCAACTCCAGCGCGTTGGCGTGAGGTTTTCGATGCACTTCGTGAAATGAGGAAGCATGGCGGGGCGCCAGTGGACACCATGGGCTGTCATATGGCGCAAAGGCACGAGACAGACCCGAGAGTGAGTCTGTATCCCTTGTAATGACCTGATAGCTAACTTTTTTTAGAATAAACGGTTGGGATAATTCTACGACAAGTCGGGTCCTCTGTTGACCGTCGTTATAGATTCACCACTTTGGTCTCTCTGATCCTCTCTGCACAAACGAATGACAAGGCCGTCGACACCGCTGTCATCAACCTCCGCCAAGCCATTGGAGGGACGTTGTCTGTTGAAGCATTGCTCGCGGCGGATTCAGGGCTCATCAAAGACACCATTAGATCTATTGGTATGAGCGAGAAGAAAACCAACTACCTCAAAACAACCGCCCAACAGCTTTGCGACGATTTCAACGGGGATGTGCCGCAGTCAATTGAAGGAATGCTGTCTCTACATGGCGTTGGGCCCAAGATTGGATTCCTTGCACTTCACAACACATGGGATATGTGAGTTTTCTCGTCATTTGTTTCCTCACTTATCATGATTTAGCAATGCTGGAATAGGTGTAGACACGCATGTCGCCAGGATAACCCGTCTCTTAGGGTGGCACAATAAAGAGAAGGAAGAGGATGCACGGTAAGTGATGCCTTTCTGGATATCCCGCCTCACCATATCTCGTCAGGATCAGTCTCGAATCATGGCTGCCAAAAGAACACTGGCGCGAAATCAACCCGCTTCTCGTCGGTTTCGGTCAGGTACTGTGTCAAGTCCCCTGGTACACGATCATCTATGCTGAGCCGTCGTGTCAGACAATCTGCGAAGCTAAGCACCCCCGCTGTGAAGTTTGTTCGTTGTCTTCGGGGTTATGTCCCAGTGCCAGAATCGGCAAAACTCCAATGGCGGGGAAGGGAAAGAGAGCTACCAAGGGCGGAAAACCCAAGAGGCGGACTCCTACAGATGACTCTGATTTAGATTGGTGAAGCAAGGTTAGAAACTCATTGAAATTCTCATTTGGATTCATCATTCGATGCTATTTTACAACATGCCCTCTTGTCAAGCAAATGCGGCGCTTACAACAAAACTAACGTCGTCATTGAAAGCCCCCGTGGCATCGAAATCGTGGACACCGCCGTTGGAGCTGACATAGAGATTGTTGTTGAAATGTCGGAAGAAGCGGGTGGGGTGACTCCAGCTGCGGATGGTGTTGCCCTGGCCGTTGAGTCCCGCCTCTGGGCAGAAAGTCGCGTCTTCGCGGAATGCTTGCGAGCCATCGTTGGCGCTGACTTGAAGTGCAAAGTTGGAGTGGCGCAGGTAACTGCCAGTGGTGTCACGTGACTGCAAGGAGATGCATCCGCTGTTTCCGAGCCCAGGAACGACGGTCCAGCTCGCGGAGAGCTTCAGCGCATTGGTGCTGGATGAGGTGACGACTTGGGTATTGACCGCGGCGCCATTGTGGGCGATATAGCGAGTGTCGTAACCCGCAGTTGTAGCGCGAAGGGAGATGGTTGAGTTGATGTTAATCGCTGGCCCGCCGACGAGTGAAGATGTTCCGTAGCCGGCAGCGACGATGTTGGCCTGGACCGAGTTCTCCGTCGCGTCAGAAGGATAGCCAGTTGTCATCACACCCTCGTAGAAGGTGCCCTGGGCTCCGTTGCTGTTGTCACCGCCGATCCCAAGGATAATAGCTCCCTCTCTGATGCATTTTGTCAGCGACAACAAGGTGGCTAGCGAAACGCGCACTTGGACATCGGCGAATACCCTCCGACTGTTGGCCGCCCACCGCTGTAGTAGGTAGACAAAGAACCAGAAGCGGCGTTTCCGCCACGGATAGCCCACAAGCCAGGCTGGCCTTTGACAACGGCCGTGAGGAAGCGAGAAGTTTGCGTAGGATCGCCAGAGTTGAGTTTGGTGCCCTGGCCAGAGAAGAGGCCGTTTTCAAGGTCTGCCATGATCCATGGTCCGTTGCCAGAGCCAGTACCCCAGACTTTTTTGTGGAATTAACCGAAGCAAGGACAATAGTGGCGACATACCTTTGTTATTACCAAAGTAAATCGCCTCCATGTGGCCATTACCTTAATCAAGTCAATTTGTCGTGCTTTAAAGGTTAGACAGACACTGACCAGTGTCCTTCGCACTAGTCTCAGCATTGCCGTAGTCGAAGCAGCAGCCCTATAATGGAATAAGTCCATGTTTGGGGTTTAATTGAGCAGGTGTTACCCTGGGTAGAAAGCATTAGGATTGAGTAGTACAAGCAAGCGAGAAAACGCACCCATTGAAGTGAGTTCCATCCAAAACTGCATACATGCCCTCGGCAGCATCCCCCTGAAATGGTCAGGTTGGAAATGAACGATTCTCGTTGCTTGGGAACCAACCTTGGCAATGCCATTGGTAGCATCATTGCGATAACCCGTTCCTGGGGCAACGAAGACACCATATGCCTTGTGTCCCCCGAGTGTGACTGGTGCAGCAGTGGCAGAAGCAAGATTGTCGAAGCCGTTGGCTGCGGGGCCCTTGAAACCACCTGGCGGTGCTTGGGTGAGGTGATTTCCTTTGCCAGACTGGTCGTAGATGATGGTGATCAGGCATGTTGTGCCAGAACAGAAGGAGTCTTGAGCGGCAGCATTGGCAACACCGCCTGCAGACAAGGGGGCAATGTTGGTCGTCGCACCGTCAGAGCCACGTTTTACTTGGTAAAGGGAACCGGAAAACGCGCTGTAAAGGGCACGGGTGGTGCTGTGGGCTGCAACACATGGCGTTCCGCCAGATGCATAGATGTCGCAAGGGCCTGCAATAGCTAGAGCTGCGGCGGAGGACAGCACAAGGAGTGAGGAGCGCATGCTTCAGGTTGGGTCATCCGTCCATTGGAAGTTGGGCATTTTGTAGATGGCGGGGAGAAGCAAAAGATGTGATGGGAACGATCACGTGAAGCTGTTCGGACTTTTTGGGGAGCTTTAGAAATAGGATTCTCAGAAGTAGAGCACCATGGGGGAATCTTTCCGAGCATTATCACCATCTGGTGAGCGAGGGTTTTGCACATTTGCAGCCGTCCCATGACAACCTTGAACAGCAGGACAGTGAGGCAAGATGTCGGCGAGAGAACTCAAATGCAGCAGCGGTGAAACCGTGACATCAACTGACAGTTTGGGTGGAGCACGGTCCGGCTCATAAAGAAAATGATTCAATGGCATTCAAAACTCCAGACACACTGGCAAATAAAATACGCAAGTAACTTCAAGTTGAAAAGAGTTGAAAAGACTCGAGGGAAGCAGTGCAACGTGCCGGAGTGGAGAGCATCTAGCTGATATAAAGACTTTACGGGGAATCGACAAAGTTTTCGGGCCGCATCTGAAAGATATCCATAATCCGGACCGTAGCGCTTTTCATGTCGATTTTGCGATACTCCGCTTCAATTCGCACGCGGCTCTCAATGAGCTTCTCCGCGACGGTGTTCCACTCCATTTTCTCACCATTTAGACCCTGAACAGCCAGAAGCTTGCCCCCGCTCTTCCGAATCTTTCCATCCACAATCACTGTTTCGACGTCACGGACCGATGCGTGCATCACGATGGCAGTGACCGGGTCATGTTCGGCAGCACAAACCATTGCAGGCGATTCTCCGTCGAATATAACCAGGTCGGCAAGCTTTCCGACCGCAATACTACCAATATGACTTGCCATTCCTACAGCCCGAGCCCCCTTGATTGTGCCGAGATTGAACACAGACTCGACGGTATGCTTGACGACGTTCGGGTTCTTGCCGACATCGATAAATGGCTGGTTATAGGCACCTCGTGCTACTTGGAGAGCAAGTCTCATCTGAGTAAGCATGTCGCCTGGATTGGTGCTTTGGCAGTCCACACCCAGGGAAGCAACAGCGTGAAGGTCATCGCGGAATGACACAGGGAAGCCATGAGCCATTTGCAGTTCGGTGTTCGGTGTTGCAGCCACATGAGCGTTGGCGCTCGTGAGGAGAACAGCGTCGTTCGTTGTGGCGTTGCTTGCATGCGAAAGGAGAATGTCGGGACCAAGTAGCCCATATGCCTCCAGCAACTCGACGAGAGAGTGTGGCCCGAACACGGCCCCACGAACATAATGAGAGGTGATCAGCTTTATTCCGAGAGAGCGGGCCTTTTCAAATCGCTCGATCACCATCTCCTTAGGAAGAAAGAAGCTGTCGAAAGCCAACCCAAGTTGAACGCGACCATCCCCAAACGGTTGTTGTTTTGCTAGATCAGCGAGCTGGGAGTCGAAATAGTCGGGTGTAGACGGCGCAAAAGTCAGTGGATCCCATGAAGTCACGTTGGGGGTGTCACAGTAACCATAGACGGAGCGAATTCCAGACGAAACAGTGGCGGATATCGCGTTGGGAGCTGCATTTATTGAAAATCAATAAAATGAAGCAAATACGCAACAGACCATGAAGGGGACCATGAGTGATATGAGCATGGTCGACAAGCATCGTGGTTCCCCCATCAATAGCCTCCAAACACCCTCCCAGTTCTCCCCAAAAAACATCATCAGCGTTGTAGAGCGCCCCGGTAGAGTTCCCTGCTAAGATGTTAATTATCAATAGAAACGGTTTGTCCGACTTACCTCTCGGCATGTAATCCAGGAGAGTATCATTCGCATGTCGACCTTTCAACTGTGTTTGCCACACGTGATGGTGCGTGTCGATAAAGCCTGGCGAAACCAATTTCCGAGTGCAGTCAAGGATAATGGTATCTAGGCTAGATGCGTCGATGTGCGGTCGAATGTCTGCGATTGTGTTTCCAACAACAAGTAGATCAGATTTTATCGGCGTGATGTGATCATTCTCGTCATGCACCAGGATTATCCCGTTCTTGAGGAGTATCGAGTTGGACACCATGAGAGAGAGAGACGCCCAAGCTTCTGACTACATAAAGATTCTCGTCTTTATAGCTACGCGGCCAAGTCTCTGCGTTTAACCGTGCGAGTAAGACCTGATGACTCAATAGGATCGCTCATTGAAAGACGATGGCTTCACAGAACCGTTGATCTAGCGGAAGGGCTTCCGTGTAGTAAAAGCTCTATACGTTTGCATCGTCCGATCGCGGAACGCTGATGTTCTTGTCAACGTCAGGTTGGCACTAATAATATTAAAAATGCACTGACTGTTCATATTCTTTCGAGTCTTGGGGTGAAGGCTGCAGGAGTCGCAGGGCCAAGGCGCACGACCTTTGACTGACACTTTTGTCAATTGCGCGTTACAAGGAATCGACAAAGTTTTCCGGCTTCATTTGGAAGACCTCCATAATGCGGGCTGTAGCGCTTTTCATGTCGATCTTACGATACTCAGCCTCAATCCTCGTGCGACTCTCCATCAACTTCTGAGCGACGGTTTTCCACTCCAGATTTCCCCCCGTTGGACCCTGTACGGCCAGAAGCTTGCCGCCGCTTTTCCTGATTTTCCCGTCCACAATCACAGCTTCGATATCTCGAATAGAGGCATGCATGACAATTGCAGCGACTGGGTCATGCTCAGCCGCGCAGACCATTGCGGGGGACTCTCCGTCAAATACAACGAGGTCGGCGAGCTTTCCAACAGCAATACTACCGATTTGACCCTCCATTCCAACCGCTCGGGCACCTTTGATCGTCCCCAAGTTGAATGCCGCCTCGACGGTGTGTTTAACAAAGTTGGGATTCTTGCCAGCATCAACGAATGATTGATTACGAGCTCCTCTTGCAGCTTGCAGAGCAAGTCTCATTTGAGTAAGCATATCGCCTGAATTGTTGCTGTGAGAGTCGACACCGAGGGAAGCGACGCCATGAAGATCGTCGCGGAACGCAACAGGAAAGCCAAGGGCTGCTTGAAGCTCTGTTTCTGGTGTCGTGGAGACATGCGCATTGGCGCTTGCGAGGAGGGCAGCGTCGTTCGGTGTGGCATTGCTTGCATGCGAAAGGAGAATATCAGGACCCAGCAGTCCATATGCCTCGAGCAACTCTACGACAGAGTGTTGCCCAACAACGGGGCCACGGGCATAATGGGAGGTGACCAGTTTGATACCGAGTGAACGAGCACTTTTGTATCTTTCAATGACCATTTCTTTGGGAAGGAAAAAGCTGTCGAAGGCCAAACCGAGTTGAACACGACCGTCACCGAAGGGTTGTTGTTTGGCAAGGTCAGCGAGCTGAGAGTCAAAATAGTCAGGCGTAGCGGCCGCAAAAGTCAGCGGATTCCACGAAGTCACGTTAGGGGTGTCGCAGTAGCCATAAATAGAGCGAATCCCAGACGAGACAGTGGCAGATATCGCGTTGGGAGCTGCATCCGCTAAGCGGTAGTACAACGGGGGAAACATGGCACAGACCATGAAGCGGGCCATGAGTGATGTGTGCGTGGTCGACAAGCATCGTAGTTCCCCCATCAATAGCCTCCAAACACCCTGCGAGTTCTCCCCAAAAGACGTCCTCAGCATTGTAAAGAGCGCCAGTAGAGTTTCCTGCACTAGCATCGGTTCCTGATGAGACAAAACGCCTTATCCGACTTACCTCTCGGCATATAATCCAACAGAGTAGCATTCGCATGTCGACCTTTTAGCTGTGTTTGCCATACGTGATGATGGGTGTCGATAAAACCAGGCGAAACCACTTTCCCGGTACAATCGAGTATAACTGTGTCCTTGCCAAACCCGTTGATCTGTGGTCGAATCTCTGCGATTTCGTTTCCAACAACAAGTAGATCTGACTTGACCGGCGTGATGTGATCGTTGTCGTCGTGCAGAAGTATAGTCCCGTGATTGAGGAGTATGGATGCCATGACTGAGATGCTCCTGGAATCGTCACTTATATACATCGACGGCTAAGTTTCCGCGCGGTGGCGCGCCTTCAATTATGCGAGTCAAAACTGATGAGTCAAGGCTGCTCGAGCCGATTGAAACCTGAAAGACGTTTTCCGTTACTGACGGGCATTGACAGAACAGGGTCAAGGTCCATGATGTCAACCCAAAGTTTGGACCCTTCCGAGGAGGAAATGCATAGAGCAACTGAGAATTCGTCCAGAGCTCGCAAGACGTGTTAGATGAGGCCTGCGACAGAGATACTGCCGCCGAATACGTGTTACAGGGAATCGACAAAGTTCTCAGACTTCATCTGGAATACCTCCATAATCCGGGTAGTAGCGCTTTTCATGTCGATTTTGCGATACTCTGCCTCAATTCGCAGGCGGCTCTCCATCAGCTTCCGGGCGACGGTTTTCCACTGCAGATTTTCCCCCGCTGGGCCCTGGACCGCCAGGAGCTTGCCACCTCTCTTCCTGATTTTCCCGTCCACGATCACAGTTTCGATATCGCGAACTGAGGCATGCATGACAATTGCGGCAACTGGGTCGTGTTCAGCAGCGCATATTGTTGCGGGTGATTCTCCATCGATGATGACAAGGTCGGCCAATTTTCCAACGGCAATACTACCAATTTGACCTTCCATTCCTACAGCCCGAGCCCCCTTGATCGTCCCCAAGTTAAATGCCGCCTCGACAGTATGTTTGACGAAGTTGGGATTCTTCCCAGCATCAACAAATGATTGGTTATACGACCCCCGGGCAGCTTGGAGAGCGAGTCTCATTTGAGTCAGTATGTCACCGGAATTGTTGCTATGACAGTCGACACCAAGGGAACAAAGAGCATGAAGGTCATCACGGAACGAGACGGGGAAGCCATGAGCCATTTGGAGCTCCGTGTCGGGGGTTGCAGAGACATGGGCATTGGCCTTTGCAAGAAGGGCAGCATCTTCTGATGTTGCGTTGCTTGCATGCGAGAGGAGGATGTCCGGACCGAGCAATCCATAGGACTTTAATAGCTCCACGAGAGAGTGTTGTCCAATGATAGCGCCACGGACATAATGGGAGGTGACAAGCTTGATTCCAAGCGAACGGGCTCGTTGATATCGTTCGATAACTATTTCTTTAGGAAGGAAGAAGCTGTCGAAAGCTAACCCCAGTTGAACGCGACCATCCCCAAACGGCTGCTGATTTGCGAGATCAGCGAACTGAGAGTCGAAGTAGTCCGGAGTCGCCGGGGCGAACGTGAGTGGACTCCATGACGTCACGTTGGATGTATCGCAATAACCGAAGATGGAGCGAATACCAGAGGTAACAGTAGCGGATATAGCTTTGGGAACTGGAGACACAATAAAAACCAAGACCGAAACGACAAAATTTAAACTGACCATGAGAAGGTCCGTGAGTGATGTGTGCGTGATCGACGAGCATGGTCGTTCCACTGTCGATGGCCTCCAAACATCCTCCGAGTTCTCCCCAGAATACATCTTCGGCATTATAGAGCGCGCCGGTGGAATTTCCTGTGTGATATGTTGTTTGAGAGACATTTTCCATGCTACAAGCAGTTCACGTACCCTTGGGGATGTAATCCAAGAGGGTATCATTCGCATGCCGGCCCTTGAGCTGGGTTTGCCACACATGATGGTGGGTGTCGATGAAGCCAGGTGAAATGAGTTTTCCAGTGCAGTCAAGGACTACAGTGTCAACCCCAGGCGCGTCAAGATGTGGTTGAATGTCTGTGATCTTGTTCCCAATGATGAGCAAGTCTGCCTTGATCGGCTCGACATGGTCATCTTCTTTGTGCATTAGCAAGGTTCCGTTCTTGAGCAGTAACGAGCTAGAGGTTGCCATGAGAGTGGGAGCTGGTTAGTCCGCACTGAATCCCTGCCAGTTTATATAGGCTTTGGGAATCGTCCGTATTTAACCGTGCGAGTGAAAGCTGATGAGTCAATAAAAGATGTTGAACGCTCTCATTGGAGGTGGGAAGCCGCCCGATTGGCGTTTGTAATACAAGGCTGACGCACTCCGGCGAGCAGAGAGTTGGCGCCTCTGATACTTGGTCTCGAGGAGAATATATATGCATAGGGAAGGAGTTGGGAAGAAATTGCAACAGCAGAACCAGGCGGCATGTTGGAAGGCTGACGAGAGAAGATTCAGCTGTGTGACGCACTGTCACTGTCACACAAAATTTTGGGTCATTCCAATTTTGCGATTTCTTTTGGGCCACCCTCACGAGCTTCACTGCGCAACCTCACTCTTACCTTTCGTCTATAATGTCCCCTCCGCTCTCATCCAAAGGCAAAGAGTCCGGTACTGCCCGTGTCCTCGGTTCGGGGGCGTCTGGTGAGTTGCAGTAAAAGCTGTTGAGCTTGGTCGAAACTGACTACCAAACGCGTTTTAGGCGTCGCGGAATTGCTCGTGTTCCACCCCGTGGACACTGTCGCCAAACGTCTCATGAGCAACAAGGCCAAGGCTCGTATTTCGTCCGAAGCAGTCCCTTGACCATATTGACTTGAACGCAGATGTCTATGGGCACGGCCAACGCCATTATCTTCAGGGACTACGCGACCGCCTCTGTGGCCCGCAAATTTGTGTCGCTATTCCCTGGACTAGGGTATGCAGCGGGCTATAAAGTTGCTCAGCGGATATACAAATTCGGTGGACAGCCGTGGTTCAACGACTTGATCAACCGACATTACAAGACCGAATTCACAAACACCTTTGGCGAGCGGAATGGTAAACTCATGACACAGGCTGCAGCTGGGAGGTGCGTAGCTCATAACGCGTGTGGTTCATACTTTTTTAATATGTTCTTTCCTTTCTTAGCTTGACGGGCATTGGCGAAGTTGTGCGTGGAAATGACGACTTCTAATTTCCTGTGAACCAACATATATCAGGTGCTCCTCCCTCTTGACGCGTTGAAAATCAAGCGTCAAGTCAACCCAGAGGCTTTCCGCGGTCGCGGCGTGGTTCGCATCTTCCTGGAAGAAGGAACCACACTGTACCGCGGCTGGGGCTGGACTATGGCTCGCAATGCGCCTGGAAGTTTTGCTGCGAGTAGTTATCTTCCGTCTCCTCCAAAGTCTGACATCCCTATAGCTATTCGGCGCTTCCGCGGTGACAAAAGACTACGTCTTAGGCGTCTCCGATTACTCCAAAGCGACATGGACGCAAAACTTCATTGCCTCTATAGCAGGCGCGGTCGCATCCATTACGGTCGCCGCCCCCCTCGACGTTATCAAGACCCGTATCCAGAATGCCAACTTCGAGAACAACGTCTCTGGCGTTGCAGCGGTCAGGGAACTTGTCAAAAATGAGGGTGTCTCCGCATTTTTCAAGGGTCTGACGCCGAAGGTACACATTGCTTTACCTCCCTTGAAACTGGCTCACACGCAAATGCAGATTCTCGTCGTTGGTCCTAAGCTCGTGTTCAGCTACACCCTTGCCCAGTCGCTGATCCCCTTCTTCGCTAACTACGTCTAATCTAGCGCCTTCGTATTGCTTTTCCACGTCCTTACGACGGATGCTGTCGAATCCACCACTCACTACGGACTACGCTTACGCTCTGCTGCTTACGCATAATTTAACAAAAGTACCAGACACTTTCTCGTGTAGTTTTAGACCTAGATCGGATTTACACGTTGTAATTCATGCCCTCTACTCAGTTAACAACCTTACCCCACGACAAACTAGATCGGGAAATGATTGACGGATCACAGTTTCGGCTGTCGCTCACCTCTTTCTACTTACTTACCCCGAGTTGAGGCCTCTCCAGAACAGACTATCGACTACATAACGCCAGTCGTCGCTCCAGAAATCAACGCAATGATCGATGCTCTTCCCTTTGAAATCACTGCTCAAATTTTCGAACTCTGTGTGCTCGATAACCCGAGCCCACTCAAACATCCTGCCCAGCAACTCCGTCTCGCGGCTGTGTGTGTCAGCTGGAGAGACATTTGCTTCGCACTTGGACAGCTTTGGGCCAGGCTTAACGTCTACAAATGCCCAAAGTTTCTGGAGGGAGGAACCGACGATGATGAAGCGGAACTTTGCCAAATGGCCATTGCATGGCTCTCCAGAGCGGGCAGTCATCCAATAAAGCTTGGAATCCACGCAGAGGAACGCAGTACTACGCTCTCTTACGCTCTGCTCCCAATATTTTCGGGTCAAATATCGCAGCTCGATATACCTCTACAGCGTCTCTCCTCGGTTTTGCGCGGTGGAGCGCTACCTCAGCTAAAGAGCCTTTGTCTGCGCTGCCCCCCCAGTATAAGGCTCGATCAAGATGACAAGGGACATTACATTCTAGCCCCAAAGTTGCAGCGCCTTCAACTGCTCGGGTACTTCGACACCGATATCTACATTGCGTTTCCGTGGTCTCAAATCACCGACCTCCTCATTGACGGACCACCGTATTCTTGGGTCCACTCGAATTTCCGTTTGCTAGACCTGGAACAGCTCGAGACCTTCAGCATCGTTTGTGAATATGACTATCGGAGCCCTCGCTCCATTAAAACACTCCCGAAATTGCAGAAATTCAGGGCTACGTTAGCACGGGACGCTGACATACTGGAATACTTGTCTCTGCCCGCGCTGAGATCACTAGAAATAATTGGGCTGGCGGGCGCCAGTGAACTACCGACCAATATTGTCGAACTAGGACGGCGTTCTCAATGGAGTCTGCGACACCTGCGCCTCGCTAACATCCAGTGCAGTCGTATTGCTTATCTACTCGACTCCGAGGTGATGGAGTTCATTGAGGAGCTGGAGATCAGTGTCACATGGAGAGACCCGACCTTCTTCGATGCACTCTTGTCTCGGTTGAGGGCTGGAGCGTTGCTTAACCTCCACTCTCTGAGCATCAAAGCGTGTCCGATAACGCACTCAATGCACATCACTGAGCTCGTGGAGGTTGTGCGTCTACGATCTGAGAAGTTCGGTCTCCAAGCATTTGCGCTGGAGCTTGTGAAGCGACATGACTGGGAGTTGTGGAAGAATGAGGTAATGCTGGAGTTTAGAGAGTTGGTAGGCCGGGTGCCGAGTGTGAGGGTTCATGTTCACGGTGTTGCAGTCTAGGACTCGAACTCTCATTATCGGTCAAGTGAATATTCATGTCAAAATGAACTTATCCTCCTCTAACTTCCCCTCGTGGGCCCCACACTCTTTTTACCCTTCAGGATGCTCGTCCGTTTTGGTCTATTGCACTCTCGACAACTGTCGTCAACGCCCATCTGGCTGAGATTTACACCAATTCATGACCTATTAGTTTCGACTTGTCTTCCTCCCACAGCTTCCTCGAAGTAACCAACGCGCTTCATCTCAACCAAGGGCTGATTTGCTGCTGTTACGCAGCCAGATCTACAGGGACAACAAATTTCTATTCCGCTGCAGGGACGTAAAAGCTCTACTACTTGCAAAAATAAAGTGTGCAAAACTAGGCATCCAGAGAAAGGAGTCGAAATAACGGCACACTGCTCGCAGCGGCCGCGCGAGGGTATCGGCGCTGGCGCCAGGGATCTGACGAGATCCAAATGCAATATATGTGACAGTGACAAGCAAGAGAATGACGATGGTGAAATGAGTTGGTGAGTTGCGTCGAGCGTTGCGTTAGTTTAATTGGATTAGAGGCCATGATGAGCATGACGGCGTCGGTGGAAAGTGACACTATTGGCCCGCGCCTGCATATCTGCTCGGCGCTTGCGGTGACTACGTTTCTCGCATTTAGGAGCAGGATCGGAGGAGGAGGACGATGTGTTAGAGGTTGTAGCAACCTTCTTCTGGGTGTCCGTCGAGGCTGATTTATCGGTGTTGGAAGAGGACTTATCGGCGTTGGATGACGGTTTATTGTCATCGTTTGATGAAGGGGGTGGGTTGGAAGGTGGGCTCGAGGTGCCTCCCGTGAAGATGTCATACTGAGCACCATCGGGGAAACCACATTTGGAGTTGTAGGCTGGGCTCTTCGGATCCCCAGCAGCGTCCCAGCCGTCCACTCTGATGTTATTTCCCTCGTTTTGGTTCCAGTATATCATTTGCTTGGGGCCCTGAAAAGACATTTCATCAAGGACATCATCTAAATTCCGAGCTATCTTACCTTTGTGCAGCCGCCGGCGTTATTCTCGCACCACACAGGCGCCTTTGCGGGGCCGATGGCCTTAGTGCTTTTAGCACCAGTGACCTTGCATCGGTAAGGCAGGTGGTACATGTTCGGCTGACCGCATCTAGAAAAGTCAGCGATGCGTTTCACGAGCAGCCGCGAACCTACCCATTGGGAACCTGGAAGTGTTTGAAAACACGCAAATTAGTATCGAATCATAGATTACGAGCGAAATCGCACCCATCCCCACTAGAGGGTGGTCAGATTTTGTGATAGAAGATCAGGAATGTACACGCACAGCACAGATGCAGCCACCAGAAGGGCAAGCGGGCATGTCGGCGGGGACGTCATAGCTCGTTAACCTCTTCCAGGGAGTGCTGCAAAAGTTCAGACAAGCGACCCGAATTAGTAAAAGGAACTGACTGATAACGGACAGTAAAGACCGCAAGATTCTCTGGGGTCACTTTCTTGATGTCGGACTAGAATGAAGATGAGCTTATGTGTTGAGTTCAGAATGATTAGACGGACTGTATAGGAAATAGCAAATGCAGTTCCAGCAGCTCTGGATTGGTTCTGCGTATGCACTATTTATTAGCAATTAGTCGGTAACTTGATCGAAGATATGTTAACACACTGTTGGGGGACGTGATGCAGGTCGGAACATTCTGTCGGTTGTCGTCAGAAAAATGGGCATTGGTGAGAGATTGCTACGGACGTAGTCCTCAGGATAGTTTTTACCGTCGGGCCATGAGGTAGCATATTTGCCGTTGAAGCCAAGTGAGGTCTCTCCACGGTTGGAGGCAATCTCGACGGTGAAGGACCCTCCCGCTGGCCTGAACGAGTTTCAGAACAGTGAAATCGCGGAGCGACGTGGAACAAACAGTTCAAGAAAGTCGCCCTCGGCTGGAGGGAAGTTAGGGACGCCGTTGTAGCCGTGGACTACGCGTAAAGGGTCAGAAAGTGCCACACCAGCGCAAGTAAGATGAGGGGAGCATACACCACCAGTCGCTCTTGGACATTTGGTAGAGCGGGTGAACAACATCGTCAGAGTTATAATTTATTGAACCAGATACGCCCTGGAAGGGAATCACATCAGAACTTGAGGGGAGAGAAATGGCTCATCACGCACATTCAGACCGTACATGCCCTTATGCCAGGCAGCCAGATGCGCGTTGGCGATAGTCGCCGAGAGCGCGACAACAGACACAAGACGAACGAGCATCTTGGAGAATGAAAAGAAAGTGGGGCCCACGAGGGGAGGGGAGAGAGGGAGGGATGGGGGAAAGAGGGAAAGTTGTTGGAGTGACAATTGTGACGGCGGTGTTCATTTCGACCTTCACTTTGACGTTTAGTTGACCGATAGGGAGTCTTTTGGTACCTGGTCGTTCCCCGAATATAAACACAAACCATACAGATCTGCTGTGGAAAAAGAAGACGAAGATCTATTGCCATAATAAGCACCCTACCATTGCCAAGTCAAGCTTTCGTAAAATGCAACCCAAAGGCTAAAGTTCTTTAAACTTCGACATAACCTCAATCCTCCCAGTCATGTCGCGCAAATTCCTGAAGAGTTGAGGTCAAGCAACACATCAAGCTCCCCGAGTGTTCACTAGAACTTTCGATGGACATAAACAAGCATTAAGGCGTTAACATTCATTGTGGTGTGTACTCTACGAGTCCGACATCGTTGCTCTCTTTATTGAATCACTGAGATTGGGTGGGCTGGGGGGTGCGAAGCCGTGTCTCGCCGACGAGGACACTTTGCCAGTTAAATCTGCGCAAACATCAACACTTGACCTGCTCCGTAATATAACCTGACTTACCCAGCAGGCGCGGTCAAGCAGCCTCCAGCCTCGGTGGACCCGTGGAAGGTCTGGCCGAAGCACTGATCGGATGAACCGCCCGACTCGAAGAAACGGATGCGTGTAGCGTGGCGCCAGGAGACACTCTTCACTTGACTGGGTGCGCCACCAGTCGAAAACTGGATGCATTTGCCGTCTTCAACGCCAAGGCTGCCGCTGATGATCTCGCCGGTGCAGCCCGCGCCAGTGTACCACGTGAGCTGGGTGCCGGGGGTGGGCAGCATCGCAGAGCGGGCGGATGCGGTGAGGAGAAGCATGGCGAGGAGAGCGGTGAATTGCATTGTGGGTGATGCTGGGGGAAAGTGCGCTGCCCAGGCTGGTATTTATCCAGAAACCCAGCTTTGCCAGGCAGTGCTGCCATTTCAAGTCATGCAACTGCTTCCCGTCGACCAAGACGCGTCCGGTGGGCTGCGGGGAGGAATATCCTGCCCAGATTCGTCTTCGCGGTTTCGGAATGAGGATCCATGTGTAAGCTAAGGATGATGCCCGATGGGGCCCCCTATAATAGGGTCTAAGCTATAGCCATGCATAGCCGACGCAAGAAGTCGAGCGGATGAGCAACGCTGCGGCGGTGGTCGCATTGGATAGATTCCATTGGGAACGCCGTCCTAATTGGTCCCAGCCCAAGTATTTCCAGAGATCGCAGGGCACCCAGGCTGGCAATGCAGAGTCGTCAGATATTCGCCATACCGCGTAATGTTATCCTATCCTATCCAGCGCTAGCATAGCCCGAAGTTTCAACAACTTTGCAGGCCCAGGGGTTTCAAGGGATTCCGTTTGCAATCATCTCGGCCTTGCGCTGGTTACCAGTCTGTTCTTCGATTCGTGCGCGAACTGCAGCGGTATGACTCGTGATTTGTGGTACGTACTCACTTGTTGATTCGACACATATCAGTCTCAGGCTCTCGATCCGAATGCCGTTTGTCGCTGTTAGTGTTGGGGCGGGAACTTGGCGGGGAAGTTGACCCTAGGAGCTTTCCCGCCCGTTGTCCGCCGCAAAAGATATCTATAAGAACCTGGTCGCTGCTCCGAGTCGTCCAAATCGCAATGCCGCCCATCATATCTCAGCTCATAAAATTTACCACCCACTCTGGCTTCACCCTTGCCTCTGGCGCATTCGCGGACCTCCGCAGAGCGGTGACTAGGCATGGGGTACAGGAACAATACTATGGCCTCTGCACCGACGCCCCAAACACCTTGTTGTGGGTTATCCGTGAGTTTCTTGTCAGGGGTGGGATGGCTGACGAGGTACTGTAGAGTGGCCGATGCCTCAAGGGCCACAGGAGTCCGCGTCCTTCAAAGCCTTCGTCAATGCTCTTGATGTGAGCGGGACACCCGCAATCACCTACCTGCCCTTTGCACACGAGAGTTTGCCGAGGCCCGCACTCATGGCGCCAGTGTGCGAAATAGTAAGAGCTTATTCGAGCGTCTGTATCACCTGATCGAACAGAGCGGAAGTGCTTCATCCACATAAACGACAAAAGTGTTGACGAGTCGTTGGCGCATTCGCTGCAAAAGACGTTCACCGACTGCTATCTCGCGCAAGGCTTCGTTGGAGGAGCCTGGAGCACGGCAAGAGACGACCCATTGCTGAACTATTACTATCTTGGTTGGCAAACCCGAAAGGCGCGTTTGTCTTGGACTGGAAATTGACAAGTTGCTGATTTGCCTCTTGGAACAGTTGCACGCGAACTACTCGAAAACCGACTTGTTCGCCGAAGAGATCGACAGGTTGAAGCCGCATATGGATGGGGCTGGATTCAACTTTGCGACGATGGTGAAAGAGTAGAGTAAGTATCGTTCTTGATATCACGTGAAGACGGATCAATATATTCGGTTGGTTCGGCTCCGATTAGCTTTTTTTCACCGAGAGATCTTCTAAATCCGGCCACCATGTTGCTCAACCTTCGGAGCTGCGTCCGCCTCTGGTTCATGAATCACCCGGCTCTGCAGCATGCCTGTTGCCCTTGCTTACGACTCTCATGTCTCCCACCTCGGTTGACGACCACCTCAGCGAGGAATCCCCCACCCCGACTATAAACGGCGAAGGTCTTCAACTGCACCATATTCCGTCCCATGTTTCGGCCCACGACATCCCGATTCCCATGAGCATTCATGCCACGGTACCCGCAACTCCAACCAAGACAAAAACGATAGACGACTCCATATACGACCGCCTTCCACCACATCGCAAGCACATAATCACCTGCATTCTCTCGGTTTGCGGTTTTCTGGCCCCCATCTCATCCACGACGGTTCTTTCCGCAATTCCTGAGGTCGCAGGCACCTACCACACGACCGGCTCCATCATCAACGTGTCGAATGCCGTGTATCTCGTTTTCATGGGTTTATCTCCGTGTTTTTGGGCCCCCATGAGCCAGGTTCGTGTAGCAAAGAAGCCTGACACGCTCTGATCCGAAGCGCAGGTATACGGCAGGCGCTGGGTATTCCCGTCTCATTTCGCGGTGAAAAAAGCTGACTCTTCCTTTAGATATGTCTGTCCAGCGCGTTCTTATTCTTCGCCTGCTCGCTTGGGACTGCTCTCAGCCCCAACCTTGCCGCGTTCTTCATTTTTAGAGCTCTGACTGCCTTCCAAGGCACGTCATTCCTAATTGTCGGTGCGAGTTGTTTGGGAGACATTTACCGGCCAGTATGTCTCTTGCAACAGACTTGAACTCTTCTGAAACGTGTTGCAGGTTGAGCGTGCGACTGCTATGGGCTGGTTTCTCTCCGGAACACTAATTGGTCCGGCTATAGGGTCAAAAGACGATTAACTTACATTTTCGATGCTGACGATTGTTCAGACCATTTATTGCGGGCGTCATTGTTACATACCGCAGCTGGCGTGTTATCTTCTTCCTCCAAGCAGCCCTAGGAGGTCTAGCAACCGTTCTCGTATTCTTCTTTCTCCCGGAGACAATCCACTTCAAGCGATCAGACGAGCTCGTCGGGCTGAGCCGCGCGAAGACGGTCCGAATGATATGGGAGTGGACGAATCCTATCCGCGTGGTGAAGCTTTATAAGTATCCTAATCTGGTCTGTGTCTCTTTTTCTTGGATGCCCTCTATGCGAACTAGTGTTCCCTGTAGATTGTTGCTGTGAGTTTGTTTAGCTCCTTTCTTCGACGAGTTAACACCTTCCCCTCCAGTCCTTGGCGTCCTCTGCTCTCGTCTGGAACATGTACTCGCTACTCACGCCGATCCGATACATCATCAACCCCCGCTTCGGCCTGACCACCCCCATCCAATCCGGTCTCTTCTACCTCGCACCGGGCATGGGGTACATTACCGGCACGTTCATGGGCGGACGCTATGCCGACTACATTGTCAAAAAGTGGATCGTCAAGCGCAACGGCGAGCGTGTTCCAGAAGACCGCTTGCGGAGTTGTGTCCCATTTCTTGGGGGCGTCATTCCGGGCTGTATGCTTATTTATGGCTGGTCACTCGAGAAGAAGGCGGGCGGAGTTGCGTTGCCTATTATCGTGATGTGCGAATTTGATGTCTGGTTGTGATATTGTGTTGACTTGGCGTTTGTAGGTTCCTTCAGGGTTGCGCACAGCTCTTTTGCTTCCCGAGTTTGAATACATATTGTCTCGGTGGGTTATCTTTTGTCATGTCAAACTCATCGTCGACTTCAAAAATCAGATGTCATGCAAAGCCGTTCAGCTGAGGTTGTTGGTATGCCCATTGTTGCTTGTCCTTCAAACACATCTTGACCTCGTTCACCCAGCTGGAAATTACATGGTCCGCTACTTTTTTGCCGCGGCCGGCTCGGCTGTCGTCCTCCCCGCAGTACAGGTCATCGGCGTGGGCTGGTTTTCCACTATAACGGCGGTATTCTTGGTGTTTTCCGCTCTCGCGGTGTATTGCACTGCCGTCTGGGGCCAGTCATGGCGTGACTGGGCAGACCGACGGGGTGCAGGAAGTGTTGCGACTACGGAAAAGGCTGCAGCATAATCGGGCAGGCCGGGGACACCATTTGACGCTGCTGGATCCAGTAGAGATAGACGTTTTAGAGTGGACCGTGAATTTAGAAGCTTGACTCCTTGAGTACGCATTGCTTGATAGGCTCAGCAGAGGGCTTGGGATAGGATCAAATCGGACCCGAAAGGTTCCGATGCTGCGGAAGAACGGACGGGTAGACGGAGAAACAAGGAAGAATATGTTTATGTGAACAATGGTTCACATGAGAGGGGGGAGCTCGCCAAATCCAAGTAAAAGCAAAAATATATATGTTAATACAACTGAATTACTAATCATTAAATACATATTCATCCAAATTCATACCATAATCATTGAGGGTGAATCCAAGGGCTGCTCTTCTTTCTATATCAGCCTTCAACATACGTGAAGTATCTGTATCTTCTGGCCGTTGTAACCTAGACAAAGGGAACCTAGACTTGAAAGCTATTCCATCCAAGGTCTTGACTCGTGATATGGCAACAAATGATAATCCTGGGGAAAAGTCTTTAGGACCAAGTTCAATGACAGCTTTCAAAAGTGTCAGGCCCTGGCTTTTGTGAATTGTGATAGCCCAAGCTAAAGCTAAAGGAAACTGGGTTCTAGAACAGGGAGTACCATTGGTTTCCCAATTTGTTGTTACAGGAGTAATAGGCACCCAAGAAGGATCAATGCCTGTCCAACCTGGAGTTTGAGGGCCTATAATCACATTAAGAAAGAGTTTACAAGAATATTACTGTGCAATATACCTGAGTAATCAGGACAAGAAATAAATACCACTGCTGGAAGGTCCTTTTGAGGATCTGCATTAGAGGCATAACAAATCTTCTGGACAGTGCCTTGTGCACCATTCACTAATCCCTTAGAAGTCCACATATTTCTAGTGATCATAACCTTTGCACCCTCTGAGAGGAGAATCATAGGATGTAACCCTTCTGCATCTTCAGGAGATCCTTTCTTTGACAAAGCCTTGTTTATCCGATGGTGTGTAGCTTTACACCGAACTATAGGTTTATTGAGTTTTGCCAAATTTCAAGATTGGCATCTTCAACAAGTTTATGAGTTGGCAGCAAGTGAATAACATCACTGAAAGTAGCACGCTCTTCAGCAGACAGTTTATCCCAGAAACGCTCTGAAAGCAGAGTATAGTCTTCTTCAGTCACAGCATACTCTCGTAAATGATACAATGCCTCTCTGAAGGCTGTTTGACGGGGATCATCACCTTCTTGACGGAAAACCTGAGTAAGAGTAAGAGACTGTTTGAAGGTTTCATATACCATTCTTCCTTCAGCAGCAAGTTGGCCTCTTGGCCCATCTGCTTGCTTAGTAGAAAACAAAGCACTATCACCCACAGGTGGGAGCTGGAAAAAATCTCCAAAGATTATAGCTGATTGACCTCCTAAAGTTTCCTCAGCTTTAGCTGGAAAAATCTGTCTGAGCCTACGGTCCACTTTCCCTAAGATTGCCCTTCCAATCATTGACTTTTCATCAATGATAAAAATACGCATACTATGCCAGCGTTGCTGCATTTTCTGAAGAGAGGCAGGAGCTAATTCTGAAAAATTACTATCTTTTGTGACTGGAATAGAAAGTGCAAAATTGATTGTCCATCCTCTGATTCCAAATGCAGCAATTCCGGTAGGAGCCATCCGAATAACAGGATCTTTACCATCTAGCTCATCTGCATATTCCTCTCGCAAAGCAGTAGTAATAGCACGAATAAGCACTGATTTACCAGTCCCTGCAGTACCATCCACATTGATTCTGAGTGGCTCTGGTGATTTCCCAGCTTTTAATGCTTTGATATATGCCATAACCTGAAGGAAAAGTTGCTGTTGTTCCCCTTTCAACTTTGTATAATCCTCTGGAGGAGATTCTGGATAGTATCATTAGGGAATTGTTTAAGCTGTTCAGGCAACCATTCAGTTGCAGCTTTGATATCAGCCATGGGAGGTGAGTTTTCCACCCAGTTGTAACTGATATCTAATTCACGAAGGCCTAATGATTTCAGTAATGAGTCTGTTGTTGTTACTTCTCCTGGACGACGCCCAGCCTCACGCATCCAATCTGCTTGAAACTGTGCCATTTGAGGATCATCATCATCAGGTGCTATACTCTCAGAGTCTGATTCAGCATCTGGGTCTTCTTCCTCATCTTCTTCCTCAGCTGTAGGCAAGGTATCATGTCCATGTGGGAGATTGAATGGTACACAATCTGTTTCATATGCAGTAATCCAGTTGTCATGATTTTTTAGCAAGTCTGCTTCCTGTACAAAAGGATGATGTAGAATCATATGAGCATAGCACCAGTTCTCATAGACATTTTTATCAGCTGTGTCATGAATAAATCGAGGCCAGATATTCAATGCATAAGGTAATGCAGAACGGCCACCTCGCCATGATAGAGTTTTGCCATTGACAGTCCAGTGCCGAAGGAAATGGAGGAAAGTTGTTTTCTCTAACTCCTCTTTCAATTGTGCAGATATATTACCAGTAAGCCTAGTTCTGTATGCCTGCCGTAATCCAGTTTTGCGAACAGTATTGCCTTCAAAGTCAATCTCTACATCTTCTTCTTGCTTTGATACATTGACATTTCTGACTACTCTTGATGATCTAACCATAGGACAGTCTAAGAGAATGTGACAGGTTTCTTGAGCAGACATATCTCTCTCAGCAGCAAAAGCAGACAACATCTTCTGATAGGCAATTTGAGCAGCATCAGAGTCATTAAGAGAGGAAACTGCTTTTTTAAGCATATCAGCCATAGTGCTAGATTGAGACTCTGCTTTACTTGCATATTTTGCTACATAAGCAATCACTGCATTCTTATTTAGCACAGGCCTAAAGTCCATATTAGCCCGCCATCCTAAAATCATAACAATGTGATGAGCATTTAGGAGTTCATCATTTCTCCTTGGATGGAGCTCAGGATGCATTTGACCTGGTTCTGTATGTAAACCTGTTGTATTTCTCAAAGGTTTGGGAAAGTGAAACCGGCAAAAATCCTTATGTGTATTTTTGTCCCTGCGTAAACAATATCCTGGAGCGCATTTGGTATGTCTTTGAAAACGATTCAAGAGCTGTGCTAATTCTCTCTTGGTATCTTGAAGAGTATCAAAAAGTTGTGCAGATGGATGAGTTTCAGCTGGAGGGTGTTTCTGATCAGGATTCATGGTAGATATTAATGGGTCCCAATAATTGATGAATGTTTGAACATCTTCATCTTTTTTGAGATCCAGTTTTTCTACATCTGGAGCATCTGAAAACCAAAGAAAACCATGTATATGACTGCTTCCTCGATGCTGCCATTCATATCTCCACCAAAAGTCTTTGATCTGAAACTTGACTTTCATAAAATACTCAAAGTAAACCTCCCAACGTTTCTGGAAATAATATGCTGCAATAGCTATAGAGAAGATTAGTATGTTTATGTAATCCAGAATAATTAATACACCATACCTGGATTCTCATTTAAGTCCTTCCATCTGGTCCTATACATATCAGGATCATTTATATTGGGATTCCATCCAGGCATATGTTGATGTAAATCTGGCCATTGAATATCTGCAGCTGAGCAGGTGAAAAAAACACTAGGACAGCCAATATCCCGTATTTGAGCAGTTAAATCTTTACGTTTACTTGACCAGAATGGTCAAGACCCTTCAATTGGTGCAGCTGACCTAGAAACACGCTGAGCTAGATGATCTGCATTATTCCCCTCAATCAATTCTCTGATTTCTTCAACAGATAATGAGCCATCTTCTGCATCACTACGAGCATACCACTTTGATGCTCTCTTTGCTCTTTGTCGAAAAATTGTATTTAATGCCCAGTAACGAAACCTGGGATGCCTTGCAAATCTTCCATCTTGATAGCGAAGTAGATGTGCTGCCCATTCTTCCATTGTTACATTCTTATGACGAGTTTCTTTGAAATCTGCTTGTCCAAAGGGGAAAAGAGTAGGAAATGCATCAATAGCTATAGGATGTGCACTGTTCTCATTTATTGGAGTACCACGCACGGGAGGTAAAGTCAAAATAATCTCAGGATTATTCCCAGTAGCAGCTGCAGCAAGTTGCTCAAACTCTGTTAAGCCAGAACGAATATTTGGTGCAAAACCTCCAGAAAACAGTGGTACACCTGGATTTTCTGCATTCTGTTGAGGAGGGCCTTGATCCAAATTTGGCTGTAGATTTTCTACTGTCACATTTTGAAGCTGATTCATAACATTTGCATCAGCAGCAAAGGTGTTTAGCCGGTTCCAATCTATTTCAACCTGCCGTGATCGAAAGGTTGGATGATGCTGTTTCAAAAAAAGACAACCACTGATGTAAAACTGCCTTTCGGACACGAAAGTCCTCATTGACAGTTTCCTGGTTAGCTGCAGATTGACGACGAAAAATAACAATTTCACATTCCTCTGGTAGAAGAGGAACTTTATTGTGAAATACTGCAGTATCTCGTGGAAAGTTACAGATATGCCCATGATAAGCATATTGGCCTCCATGAATCTGCCATACTTGGGTAAGGGCATGTACAGGTGAAATCAAAATTTCCTCCATCTGGGTTAAAGGAGGTAAAAGAGGAGCAATTCCAGGATCCATCTTGTTACTATCACAGAGTTTGTCAGACTTTTGACATTGTTTGCATTTTCCATCTTTAACCTGTAGATCAAACCACTTCTCATGGCAGGAGTTACAAGACTCCAGTTGAATATCCATTAATTTTTTACGGACATTTTTAAGCAAAGCACAATCTTCAGCAGATATAGCAAGTTGATCTAGAGGATCTATATCTTGATTCTGATTCACAGCAACTGGGTCTGCTATCTGTGGATTTACCTGCTGAGCAAGTTCCTGTTGTGCTGCTTGCATCTGTTGTACTCCTCTTCTCTGTTCTCTATATGCACGCTGACGGGCACGACAATGTGCACAAGTTTGGAAATTCCCAAAATCAGCAGAGGGCTGATAATGCTTTCCTGTGGTACAATAGAGCAAATTTTCATTATCTGGATGTGGATCTCTAGCTCTTCTAGTAGTTTCATCAGGTGCAGCAAGAATTTGAGGTTGTACTTGATTCTGAGCCTGTGGCTGGACCTGTGGTTGGTCTTGTAGCTGAGCCTGTGGTTGGACCTGTGGTTGGTCTTGTAGCTGAGCCTGTGGTTGAACCTGTGGTTGAGGTTGGTCTTGTAGCTGAACCTGTGGTTGCACCTGTGGTTGAGCCTGTGGTTGAGCCTGTGGCTGTAGCTGGGCCTGTGGTAGTTGTTGAAGTCCTAAAGTAGGAGATTGTGGTGGACTTTGCATTTCAATATCATCATCATCTGCTTGTGGAACTAAACATATTTAATTTTAATTTTATTCTTTTTATTTTTAAAAACCAAACCTGGCTGTAACTGTTGAGCCAATTGTTGCAGTTGATTGACAGGAAGGCCCATGTATTGATTATCTGCATGACCTTGCTGAAAGACATCAGCAGCAACTTGATTATTTTGAAGACCTAGAGCAGCTAGCTGTCCAGCTACCTCTTGAGAGAGGCTAAGATTTCTGCCATGATAGGGAACCTGTACTAAATTTGGTCTGCTAGGGCCAGCTTGAGGTTGCCTGCGTATATGTGGGCTATCAAGAACACGACCCTGTCTTTCTGCATGTTGAGCAGCTATTCTTTGGCGCTGAGGAGTATTTGGAGGAGTAGTCCTATATAGTTATTATTGTCTGAATAGAAACTTTAAAGTAAAAGATACATCAGGAGCCAAATGAATATCACTAGCAGAATACTATAGACACTTGAAGTTGCATCAGCCCTGACTATTATTTTAGTCTAAACAAAAATTTATAAGGGATTCTAAGGACAATACCCAGAACAGAGAGGGAGAAGGGAAAGGGAAGAAGCAAGCACAAGAAACAGTCTTAAGTGGCCAGCTGCGACCATTATCATTCATCTGAGCTAACTATATCAAGCCAATCTGCCTGAAAAGCGTTGCAAACAGCATGTGCTGTCAACGTGTCAAAGGTGACACGGGAGATCAGCCGAAATCACCCGGATGACAGAGGTCACACACAGGTGACAAACGCTCGCGCGTTTGGCTGCGCGCGCGGGCTGCTTACCAAGCGCTGACTAATATATCCAAGGAGGTTATTCGCGCAGGTTACGACATCAACGGGAAACGGTACCCTATATCAGGACCCCCGACAACCCCCTTAGAGGCCGGAGTCCGGGTTTTGGGGTTTTTACCCGAATTTTTTTGAGCGTTTTTGGCCAGTTTTTACCCGAATTTTACCTCCGGCCTCCGGAAAGGGCCCATTTTTACCCAGTTTCGACCTCAAGCCTTAGAGGGTAGTGCCAAAAAGCCGACAGGTCAGCAATTGGCCACGAGAGCATTTCCAGGGTAGAAAACTGGCCTCACAGAAGATCGAACGAAGTTGGCAGCCCAATAGGGGCTTCAGACGATGGGGAGGATGACCGGTTACACCAAGAACAGTTGAGTAACGAAGTTACCCGGTTGAGCCTCAGGCCCCCCCGAACACGGTAATTTTTACCCAGTCTTACACCTGAGGCCCCCGGCCCAAATTGGCTCATTTTTACCCAGTTTGCCTCCGGCCTTGGCAAAAATTTCCTCAAATTTTACCCGGTCGGGCCTTCGGCATCTAAGGGGGTTGTCGGGGGTCCTCCTATATCAGAAATGGGGGTCGCAAGCTCCCCCCATGAGGCTTGGTTGAAGCTTGGGCATGGAACACCACCAGAGTCGAAGAGAAGACAGAAACACAAGGCCAGGCCTGAGTGCAGTCTCAGAAGATAATTCGGAACGAGATTGGTCTGAGGACCGGGCCAATGACGAGGCATTGCAAAGGCGAGACTTAGCGATATGGCCACGTCTGGCCACGTCGCTGACCGAGGCTCGGCGATTGTGCCAGAACATGGCAGAAGTTTGAAGCATGTTCGCTGACCAAATCGGGGCTGATTCATGATCGTCATCTCCGTCTAGAATGCTCTCTCCTGGCCACACCGCAGCGCGTGCTTGTGCCACGACAACTGCGTATAAAATGCCGCTGCTGTTGCCTACCAAGCATCAGTTTCCACTGAACCACTCACCCAACTAACTTCGGGCCTACTCGTCGTCTTCACTGCTACCAATGGCCTCCTTGTTGTCCATCGTACCCCCTGCTTCGACTGTCGTCGTTTCAGCGCCGATGCCTTCGCCAACCTACGTGCCAGTCCACAGACGAACTCCCACCAGCTCTTTCGCACAGCTGCCTCGTGAACGTGAGTCTACTTTTTCTTGCCCAATCCAACCACCGCTAACGCAATTGCCTCTAGTCCCCATCTACACGATTGCCGAGCTCATGAATCTGCGCAATTCGCCTCTCATCAGCGAATTCGCTAGGGAGAACCTCCACGAGTCGCCCTTCATCTCGACCACTGTCTTAAAGTTGGCCCGGGCACCAAAGCGCCCCAGACAACAACAACCCAGTGGCAAGAAAGAGTCCAATCCAGACTCCAAACCCAAAGCGGTCACCAAGGAGAACACCCCCAAGCCATCTCCCCCACGACGCCGGGTACCCAACGGTCGACAGGCCAGTGGCAATACTCGTCGCAAGACGCTCTTGGATGCAGCCAGTTGGCGCCCCGCGCCCAGACTCTCTACACTGGCTCAGGCTTGAGCAAGCAAACCTATCTTACTACGAACTCGACGCTAGTGCAGCTGTAGTTCGCCCGTGTATTAATGACTTGACCAAGTTTGCTTTGTTACCCGTCCCGACTTTTCCAACCCGCTAGCAATCGCAGCCCTCCCTGTAAACGAAAGCCGAAGATGCGGGAGGAGTTCCCGGTCACCGAGTTGCGCACATGAGGACTCATAGCGTTGTTATAAGTTCCGTCATTGTATGTCTCCCTCCAGCTTCGTCTATGTTCTCCAACTTCCCATCCTCATCCTGCACGTGTTCCCCAATCTGTCCGTGTTTCTGTCTAAGGCTCTTCGCCCAGACCGAACGCATGCAGTCTTTTTTTCTTGCCCCACTATCTATACTACAAGGCAATAAACTTTCTTAAATGTGCGACGCAGCATAATAAGTCTGAGGCTCTGAGCTGTCGGTCAGCCCCTCCTTCAGAAAGTTCGGTCGATATATGATGGGCGCGTTGCTCTTAATAGTATACTGGCAGCCAAATCACTGCGTATTCTGGGGGGTTGGTACACGAATGGAGAAGATGAGCTGAATATGCTACAATGCGATGTGTGGATAAGTCGGGTCCAAGAAAAATGCTACCAGTCAACAACACAGTCCATTGACTCAACTCGTCTTGTCGTCATCTGGTATCGGTGCTATATGGTATAGTTAGGCAATAGATTGGGAGAGCCAGGAGACATACTGTTCAGAAACACCGTGCTCAGTTGGGTGCTTGCCAACCCGTCCTCTCCAAAGTCTGTACGGCCTGTCACAGCTTTCCACATTTGAAGGATTGCGGTCCAATTGGCCTTGGGCGGCGACCCATTTGCCTGCGCACTGTCCATTTCAGCCCTTCCGACTGCCAGCACAAGGCCGACAGAGATCTCGTGGGCGGCTACATTTCGTGCCAAACGGACAGGCTGCCTGATGCATGTCTAGTAGAATTAGATCAGTAGTTTAGCTTGTAGGATACCATTCACCGCATTGAAGCAAGTTGTGTACAGGCTCAAGTCGGCAGGCAATAGATTTACCAAGGCGCGTTTCAGAGCGGCTTCAGTTGCGACATCTCGTGCAGATGGCGTCGGTGAGTTTCGGCTGGAGCGGCATTGAGACAAAAGCTGGAGAATTCCATCCCAGGTGCCTCCGGTTTGTATAAAGTCGGATTTCAGTGCAGCAGCGACGGGTGTTCGATTGCCATAATACTGGTCGATAGCGAAGAGGAGGTCATCGAGCACATCAGGGCTTGACACTGGTGTGGTTGTGTTGGAAGTTGAGGAAAGGGAAGCAATGCTTGCTTGTATTGCCCGGACAAAGGGGAGTTGGTTGAGTGCAGCCTTCTGGGCAATCGGGCTGACCATTTCCTCAAGCATGCGTAGGAGAGTGAGTGTGAGGTCAGCAACCTGTCCTTTAAAGTTGATGTTGTCCTGCTTAAGGTTCGCAATCTCCTGCTTTAGGTTGGTAATCTCCTGCTTGAGGTCGGCATTTTCTGCTGCAAGTTTTGTGAGTTTTTCATCGAACTTTGCTTCAATTGCAGCGAGCTTTGTATTGAAGTCAGCCTGAAGATAGATGCTAAGAAGCAGGTTTTGTAGAATCGAGGAAGCGTACGGTGGTCCCCTTCAATATTTGTATAAGTTTCCCTCGTTTCATCTTTCTAAAATAGTCCTCGGGTGGTTCATGCGTGGAATGGGAGGCAGGTCTTATTGCTCCGGCTGTGCGACTCCGAAGAAGCAATCGTGTTGAGGTGCGAATGAGAACACGCATTGGGTCAATGTGGGTCGAGGCAAGAAAGACCGCTGTGGCGGACTGTCATGTGACATTACATATTAATAGCCAGTGATTTTTCCAGTCTGGCCAGTGCTCAATGATATTTGGATTACTTGTTGCACACTGGCGAACACCGGTTTCCAGGAGACAAAGCTCATCAAGTAAAAACAATATTCCCGGCCTGCTTCAGCACCTGCCAATCCTGCTCGCCTTTCAACTGCCCCATCCAGACCGCCTCGTCCGTCTCAAAAAGGACCACCCCGCCGTCTCTCATCTTGTTCGACTTGACCGCAGCATTCACCAGAACCACGCGGGCCTTCCTGTCGGGCTTCACATCCACCAACGCGCCGGAAAAGTCCAGCTCAGCGAACTTGGCGGAGCGCCAGTTGGTCTGCATTGAGTACTCGGCTCCGGCAGGGCAGGGGAACGCCATGGCCGTCGGGTTAGCGCATCGCCACTGAACATCACGCTTCAATCCGTCGACATCAGCGGTATACGCTAAGATGGCGTGGCGGAATTGGAGGGCGATCTCGCGCAACGGGGTCGCTCGGAAAGCGCTGATTGTGAATGGGGCAATGGGGATCCCCATCACCGCGTTATTCATGTACGCTGTGTCGAGTTTACCGCTTGAAGTGGAAAAGATTGGCCGTTCCCGAAGGTTGCTCGGTAGATGGATGTGCAGAGCAGTGTTGTCGGTCCGGTGGCTGTACGATGCCTGAGCGAAGTCAGCTAAGATTGGCGGACAAGATGACAAGTCGACCTTGAACCACCAAGCGAGAAGGACATCAGAGCTCCCGACCCATTCGGTCGAGTCTGCTGCCTTGAGCTCGGCCATTATTTTCTGCTTTTCGGACTCCAGAAACACCTTGGGCACGCAGACGGTCATCCCGACCAACTTCGGATCGCGATAGACGCGCAGAATGAATTGGGCGATGAAAACTAATTTTGAAACGAGGCCCAGGTCAAAGAATCCGCGTTGAATCCAGTTTGAGGGAGAGGGACCTTCGTTGAAGGCGGAGAATGGGGCCGCATCCCAGGCCATGCCAGGAATGCTCTCCAGAGTCTCACCTGAAAGCAAGCGAGTCCACGCATGTAACAAGGTTTTCGTGCCCATGACGTCGAAAGTTACATGGGACGATGTCAGTCCGATGAAGGTCAGATCGTCAAACGTCGTAACATGAATATTGATGAGTGGTGTGTTGGGCTCGAGGAAGTCTTTGAGAGTTTTCGGACAGGCTGGCGCAACCGTAAATGGCCCCAACTCCGGAACCGAGCATATAAACGGTGTAGACATGTCGGATTTGCGTAGATTGGCCAGCGAGGGACGACCACAAGAGTCATATAGTTCTGAAAAGTCGTTGCTGGTGAAAGACACAGGTGGCGTTGCAGCATCGAAGGTATTCGGTATCTGGTACTCGTATTGCTGAAGCAAAAATCAGACAAATCCACAGCGCTGTGTCCCAGACCTACTCCATTTCTAAATGCGAGCCTAGCGCCGCCTCGAGGGAACTTCTCGACAATCAGGAGTGAGATGCTGTCTTCGAGCTTCTTTGGATCGAGTCGTGCATCAACGACAAACACTGTCGTCAAGACTGCATCGACAACGGCCACATCTATTCCAGTGCATGGGACGATACGAACGCCTGTAGGCGGCAAGGTCGGTTCTTGTGAACGAAACAGAGAAAAGAGGGATGCCAACATGGTCGAAAGACTTCGTTAAAACCGTTCTACACACAGACGGGAGATTATAAGTAAAGATTCGGCTTAGAGGTACAGATGTTTAGTCACTGCGGCATCAACATCCTAGGACCAAGACACTTGGAGCCGCAAGTAGGTTTGCAGCCTGAATGGTGAGCTGAATCCACGTCTTTTGGAGGCCGGATGTCCCTATGATGACCTAGAGATTTGCAACAACCGTGACAGGACTATGCGCGGCGAGCGATTGGGGCGAGTCACGTAGAGGAGCACAGACATTCTAGCCTGAAGGTCGCAGGAACGTTGAACCGTTGAAGACGCTTGTAACGAGGGATTTGCCGAGTTTGTCGTAAATTCTAGTTTTGGACCACATTGGGGGCGAAATCAGCTTCCATATCAAAATTGATTGACCTTGTGGTCACGTTTTCTTTCCCAACCACACCAACCCCGAGCGTTTGACCGAGGCAACGACCTCAGGCAAACGAAGCGTGCTTATTTTCATCTCTCCCGCCCGCGGCCGATCATAAGCAGATGTATTCCCCGGGAATATAAACGTTAACAGGTAGATGACTGAACTGGACAACAATCGCACCTGGGCTCTTTTTGCAATCCCTCATGTTGCCGACTCCCGCAACTCTCTCGCGCGCTGGCAACCCTCGTATCTTCAGAGCCTACTTTCGGGTAATTCAGAGGGTGTCGCTAGCACCAAGCGCTCAGGCACGGCCGTTCCGATGGACTGGTACTCTTTGCTACTTGAATCATGGGTCGGGTCTCCCGCATCGATTGCGCAACACAACAAAATGGGGTCTTATCAAGGCCATCTCGGCGGCATATGCGTTTCAGGCTTGGACTTGTCCAGTATACCGGGCGGCGCCGTTCTTTTCCTGCTGTCAGATTAGGCTGGAATCATGAATGTGCGAAAATCATCCTACGCGCACGGCCATTTGAGAAGCACCCCGGACCGGCCGCGGGCTGACAGTGGCGAGCGGCGAGAGTAGGCTTTCATATCAAGTTCAAAAATAGGTAATCGGGACATGGTAAGCTCCTGTGCTGATTATATCGTCCGCCTATAAATTCAGCGCAGAAAAGGGAGCTTTCTGAAGCGCACTTGATTCCCCACAATGCAAATATCTGACGGATTGTCCTCTCAATGGCTCGCAGTCTCTGAGCCAGAGCCTTATATTCTCCATGTAGAACTTTCTCGGTAGGCACCCCTCCATCCTCTCATATTCTTGCTCAATACTTGCTAGACCACCGGTCAACGCGTTCTCAATCGAGCAAGTCGAACCATGGCTTCATGTGTCTCTTTCAACTGATACAACCCGTAGATTCTGGCGCGCTTATGGCGCACTTTTCGACCGCATAATCCAAGAGGGCAGAGACGTCCGTGCCGTTGTCGTTTCATCAGCACTCTCTAAAGTGTTCTCTGCTGGGATCGATTGTAAGTCTCAAGCTTTCATTTCCGCCTTGATCCACACGACTTGCAGTTAAAGACGGTCTCAAGGCGCGCGACGACGCCAGCGATGCCGCCAGAACATGGCTGAGCACCTACCACCATCTGAAACAATTCCAGAGTGCGATTGGGGCACCACAGAGATGCCCGTTCCCCGTTATCGTCGCAGTCCACGGTTTGGTGGCTGGACTGGGAATGGATCTAATGTATGCTTGCGACATCCGCTATGCGGCAGAGTCTACTCAGTTTACGATCAAGGTACGGGAAATCAGATACTATTTCTTACTCCCACCTAATCTACCCCGCATCAGGAAGTTGCCGTGGGCCACGCAGCAGACATCGGCACGCTCGCGTCCAAAATAACGAGCAACCACTCGTTGATGCACGAATTGGCCTACACTTCGAGGATGTTCACTAGCAACGAGGCACTCCAGCTTGGATTGGTCTCGCGAGTTTGCGCTGGCGGCCAGAAAGAAGTCACCGACGCAGCGCTTAAGCTGGCCAAAGCAATCGTCCGCAACAGTCCCATCGCGGTGTCGGGAACGAAACATATTTTGACACACGCGCGAGATCAACGGTCAGCGGGGTCTTGGCACGGGAAATTATAGCCTTCTACTGACGACCTTTCCTCCTCAGCGTCCTTCAAAATCTCGACTATGTGGCTGCGTGGAATGCAAGTGCCCTCCAAACCAAAGTTGGTCATCGCCTCTCGCTCCTCGACACTGTTGACCACTATGAACAGGATATTCCGGAGAGCATCCGCGCAATGCAAACACGGGAAGCCCCGGTCTTCCAACCCTTATCCAAGCCCAAGCTTTAGTTCAATTATAGCATTTGTATTGTAGTTTTTTTTCGGCAGACCCGGTTGAGCTGTCAGATTTGGAATCAAGGCGGGAAGAAGGCGGCAACCGTTGATCTCATAGCAACTTCTGTCACACAACCCAAGGACCCCCGACAACCCCCTTAGATGCCGAAGGCCCGACCGGGTAAAATTTGCGGAAATTTTTGCCAAGGCCGGAGGCAAACTGGGTAAAAATGGCCCAATTTTGGCCGGGGGCCTCAGGTGTGGGTAAAAGTGACCGTCGTCTGGGGGAGCCAGAGGCCCAACCGGGTAACTTCTCCCGTCACTTGTTCTTGGTGTAACCGGCCGTACTCCGCGTGGTCTGTAGCCCCTATTAGGCTGCCGACGTCGTTCGATCCCGTCTTGAGCCAGTTTTCTCTCTCTGAAATGCGCTCCAGCCGATTTCTGACCTCGCGCCTTTTTTAGCACTACCCTGTAAGGCTGGAGGTCGAAACTGGGTAAAAATGGGCCCTTTCCGGAGGCCGGAGGCAAAATTTGGGTAAAAACTGGCCAAAAACGCTCAAAAAAATTCGGGTAAAAACCCCCAAACCCGGCCTCCGGCCTCTAAGGGGGTTGTCGGGGGTCCTACAACCCACTGCCTGTGGACATGTCAGATTGATTTGCGGAATACATTTCGAGTTTTCCTCTTCATAGGATCCATTCAAGTTTCTTGATTGGTGTTGATTTGTGGTTTTGCTCTGCCAGTGGATATAATTACTGATCAACCCTTCGCATCACCTACCAAGTTTCGATACCGCCGCGAATAACTTGTGATCCATTGGACAACCCAAGCTTCCTACCACTAGTCTAGTCGGTCAAATAAGGTATCCGTGTAAACCTATTGCTTAAAAAGGAGTCGTCCCGACTGTGCCGCTGTGCTTTGTATCCGTTCGGGCTCAGACCCGTCGCCAGCGGAAGTTGTCATCCTTAGCCAACGACTGGGAGACCGTCCAACACTTGAATTGAGCTACCTCAGCCTGGTACAAAATCAGTATTTCACTATCCTAACAACAGAACGAACGAAAACGAAACGAGGTAAATAAACAAGTCCATGCTCATGATCAAGCCGCCCCTGCACCAATCCGCGTAACGGCAAATGCTAGACCGCCTCCACTCGCCGCCGTTGGCCCAATACTGAGCCGGTCTGCGTCCGCTTCCGCGCTAAACAGCTTGGTTGGCGAGCTTTCCCACGTGCGATGGGCCTCAGAACGCCCATACGCAGCATGGATAGCTGTGAGTGGAGAGCGTAGACGCTGGGCGGCAAGAAGGGTGTATGGCGATGAGTAGGTAGCAGAGATGGCTTTGATGGCGAGAACAAGGACCAGCAGGCAGTAAGCTGCCGTCCAGAGAAGAAGGGTGACGAGGAAGGGGAGCGAGAGACGCGTGCCCAGAACGCGACGGACTTGTTGGACGTCATGTGGAGGGGCGGATTCGTATAGGACCGATGTAAAGGCGATAAGTTCGCGGGAAAGCTCTCTCGAGAATGCATCAGCATACTCAGCATTTGTAGACGCATTAAGTCCGGCTCCTTCGATGGCAGCGGGAACACGGTCCGAGAGGGAGGCAGCAGCGGTCATTGCACCGATGCCACGGACAATGTCGAGGTTAGTGACGACATAGCTGTTGGATGGATCGACGGTGAAGCTCCCATTGAAGTATGTGTAGCCAAAACTTCGGACGAAAACGCTGCATGTGAGCACGTTGTAGGCAGAGGTACCATGGGTGAAGAAACCCGTGTAGCCGACATCTAACCAATAAATGAACCAGGAACAATTTGAGGTGTAACAACATACAAGTCTGGTCGGCAGAGGCGTACGCCTGCGACTGCACAACAGCACCGAATTGGAAAGGACTGTCATCGTGTTAGCAGGAAAAAGGGAGGTAGAAACAATCCACACTTTGTTGAGACATTGTAGGGGTTCTTCATTGGATTGCCAGACGCGTCAAGAATGCCGAATGAATATTGGTTTGTGGCCGTGTTAAGAGATGCATTGAAGCCGACGGATGAAGGACACTTGAGCGAGAGAGGGGATCGCGAGGGCGTAGTGACTAGACATTCCGGAGTCACACTCTGACAATCAGCCAAAACGCCGTTGGAGGTTCCGTAGTAAGCAACATCGTCAGGGATGTTTGCAGGTACGAGGAAAGCAGTACCATCGTTCCCAAACGCGACAGCATTATTGGCGGAGTTGTTGGTGAGAGTCCTCAATCCCTCGGGCAGAGAATCGGCGAAGGGGTAGGTGCTCCTGAAGATGTTTAGGGAAAACAGCACTCCGTATCAAATCGCGAACTCACGCAGCGGACTGAAGACCACAAAGATTTATACCCAAGGCGACAGCACCACTTGTCGTTGCACACATCGTGGAGTTGATCTGTCGAGAAAGTCGAGGCCATGTCCCGGAATATGAGCTGAGCTCGACGAAAGAAAGCGGCGTAGATGAAAGACTGAATGCGATAGCCACAAGGAAGAAGCTGTAGGAGAGGAAGAGTGCTATGGCAAGGAAAGTGACCGCTCGTTTGATTATCGGGGGTCTGCGCTTGTCTTTTCCCAGGCTGTGAATGTAACCAACGGCGGACCAAAGCGATGGAAGATGACCTCCATGAAGAATATCCATAACCACACCAAGCCTAAATCACATGAGCGAGAAAATCAACAAGGTTCGTTGCGCGCACTGATAAGGAGTGGGTCGATTCGGGCCATGGTGGAGAGAAGACTTGAGCCATGACCATGCGAGACTGTATCCGAGGAGGTTCAAGAGACACGGGACAGTCAGAATGAACAACACAGACAACACCAATGTGAATGCGACAATGGAGCCTAGAGGCGCCGAAGTGATAATGTAGCTCCCTTGCTGCGTAAAGTCGTGGGTAACAAATATTTGCAACGATGCTCCAACCAGGACCAGTGTAGCGGAGAGGCCAAGGCCAAGCGCTAGGAGGATGATGCGTTTGCCTCTGAAGAAGGTCGAAGAGGGGATATCGGTCGACCGTCTGGAGGAGATGATGGATATGGTGTCAAAGAGGCCGCTTGGCTCCTTGACGAGGGCCTGGGGCTCTTGGGGGGCGGCATTCCATGACAGGCTGGGGATGTTGGAGGTTGAAGGGGTTAACTCCATGATTCAGAACGGCGACCATTACTCGAGGAACTCGTGTTAAATACGCTGCGGAAGTGCAAGACAGTGCGGAAACAGCTTTCCATTCCGCGCTTGGAGTCGGAAAGCTGCAGTGAGACATGCAGCAAGCAGAGAGCGTCACAAACTGTCACAGTCGTCACGCGCTTTTTCGGAATTTCTCCCTCCATCATGCCTGAAGTTCAGGCCATATATTTTCGCTACGAACCTGGCGTTATTAAGTATATACTCAGGCAGTCTTCTCGACTGATGCTGATTCTGCTGGACATGAACGTCAAGAACTGCCTGCCACCAATACTCGTCATGGTTTGCGCATTAACACCTCTTATATCTCCGCTTTTTCCCTCCAGTTCTCTTCTCCTCCTCTTTATCCTCTCATTCCGCTACATCATCGACTCTTCCTTGAGGCACATCTGTCAGCGGAGGCTCTTCATCCGCACGGAATAGCTCACCTCCAATCACCCCTGTCAAGCGCCGCGATAAACGATGCTGAAACAGTGCCTGGTTTGCCCACGACGCCTGCCAGCGGCTTCGACGTACCTGGTTGCGACGGATATACTTAAAGATGACTAGCGGACGCGGAGTTCGCTTCCTCAGACAATCATGTCTGTCCTTTCGTTCCTCAAGTTTTCTCTTTTCTTGCCTCTCGTGCGTGTCCGTTGTACCTTGGCATCTTCTAGCACTAACACATAAGGATTGTAGGTTATGGCAAATGTACCCTCTGAGCTGATGGTACCACGCCAAACCAATCCAACAGCTCTTCCCGGAAACTGGTCATTGGCCGGATGCTTCACTGGTAAGTTTTGTATCTACCTATTACGAGGCCTAAATCAAGTCAGACATCTCAACGGCTCGAACTCTGGCTGCGGTTGTTCTGGTCACCAGCAATATGACGGTTGAAACGTGCATCGGGTTTTGTACTGGGGCAGGATACATCTTTGCAGGGGTTGAATTCCACCAGGAATGCTGTAAGTCTCTCTGCCTTCCTCACAATGTAGCCTCTCACCCTCATAGACTGCGACTCGACAATCCAGATTCCTGGTGCCAAAGCCGCACTCACTGACTGCAATCTGGCCTGTGCGGGTAATCCAAACGAAATATGTGGTGGACCGGAACGTCTTAGCGTATACGCTAGTGGCGCTCCCAGTCCATTAATCGTCCCAGAACCCTCAACTGGATGGCAATATCAAGGCTGTCTGACTGACAGTACCGCGAATCGCACCCTTCCGATGCAGATTAATGTCCCGATTGGTGTGACGGCCGAGACATGCACGTCTGCTTGTCAAACGGCTGGAAACTTCCAATTCGCAGGCCTCGAGAATGCTCACGAGTGTTGTAAGCTTGTGCTATCTTTTCAATTCGCACAAGTAATTCACATCCAGGGTGCGGAAACACTACGAATCCCATTGCTCAACACGTTGGCAACGACGATTGTCGGCTCGTGTGCCAGGTGGACCACGATGAATATTGCGGAAACGCCAATCGACTAGCACTCTATCAGTTTACCCCGGACGGTGCTCCACCACCACCCGTACAAGAATGTGCGACCGATCTCAGCAACTTCACGCTGAAAGCTGTTTTCGTCAACCCACCCGTCGGGTCCCCTTCGCAGCTCTCCTTGCGAGCAGTGCTTGTTGAGATGGTTCCCAATGTTTTCTGGACCGTCCTCTCTGTCAGTCTCTAATTATTATTTATAGCCTGCGCTAACAAACCTCAGGCGTGTACTTCCTGCGCCACAGAATGGACAACATTCTCTATCCAAAACTCAGTTTTCCTCCCCCATTCGTTCCTTGACCCCGGAATCACCATGACCTCCATCGGGCCCTCAGACGGCAATTCCCCTGCTTTCGTGGCATCAGTCCCGCCCTTCCCAGGTGTCCCCACCTACTGCGCTGCCGTCTGTTCTTCTCTATCCGCCTTCCCTTCATCACTGACTTGCTATCTAGTCGACCACTAACCCTAACTCCCCACTCATTCTCTCTGTAGCGGGCAAGACTAACTCGTGGTCGCTCTGCAGTAACACGACGTTTTTCAATGCCGATGGCCGGGTTGACCTCGTGTTCAATCCAGTGACGAACCACCCGCATTATGCGTTTTCGTCGTGCAATGCGGTTTCCGTTCAGGTCATCCAAGCGTAAACAAAACTGTGAATATAGACACTACTCTAGTATTAGATCATCAAGTATCCAAACCCAGTATGTTTTTGATGTTGTATATAGATACTCAAAAGGTTGCAAAATAGCAGGTGACAATCAGCCTGAATCAGGATAGTTTGTCAGCCACTGAAGCCTTGAAAAAAGAATCCACCTGGTAAATGGGTTGAGTTTGTCAATGAAGCTAGACAAAACAAAAATCAACCTACGCTCTATTTTTTCAACTACTTAGACATTTTTGCTAGAAGCCACAAAATGAACCGGAACAATGTTGACTATATCGTCAACATTAACAACTATATACATTCCTATGTACTGCTATATCCTGTGTAAACAGCTGCCCGAGTAGAATGAACGTCTTCTCGCTCAAAAATTCCTAGCCAAAGTTGTTAGCCAGCTCCGAGCGACATTGATTGCGCCAACCTCTTGTGCGCCGTGTCCGACGTGCCGTGACCGTTGGGATGCGATCGGTGTCGATTCTGAGCAGCCGTTTCTCGTGGCATTCCGCCATATGCTCTCGCAGCGACTGGACGATGGGCAGGCGGACGCCGGGCTCCGCTGCAAGCACGCTGAGGGTGTAGTCGAGATACTCGCTGGGCGGGTCGTGGGTGGTGATGAATATGCTGTCGGCGCGGAGCTCAGGAAAGAGTGTGTCGTCGGCGAGGGCCTTGTCGATGGTGCGCCAAGTGGAGGGTCGGTATGATACACCGGTGAGAAAGCCCACTGAGAGCGTTAGGTGGGCGAGGGAGTTTCCGGGAAGGAGGTGTTCCTTGAGGAGGTGACGGAGGACAGAGGCAACGGATGTAAGGGAAGCGTGGATGGTGAGGCGGATGAGAGAAGGGAGGTGGCGAAGATCAACCATGCTGCCGGTCGAGCCTGGAGATGGTCAAAATGAAGGACCCTGAGCGTGTAGACAACAAACCTAGCGCGCAGTCACTCAATGTTATTTCCTGAATATGCTGACCGGCGGGAGTTTGAAGCCACTGGGTGGCCCGGTAATACACGTAGAAAATGAGCAATCAAGGAGATCACCAGGACCTTCAACTCAACTAATCAAATCCTAATTTTGTGCGGTTTTGTGTTCGGGGTTCGAGCCGCTGGAAACGGCTAACGGATTCAGATGTTCTTATTGATATCAGTTGTAATTTGGGACGTTGTATAAGCTTGTATTGAAGTTTTCACTGTGATGAACAGAAAACAGCAGATGTTGGTGAGGAGTTAGATTTGAGAGGAGCAATATGGCTCTACTCTCCTTGCACTTGCACTTGCACTTGCACTTGCACTTGCACTTGCACTTGCACTTGCACTTGCACTTGCACTTGCACTTACACTTGCACTTGCACTTGAACTTGCACTTGCACTTGCACTTAACCTAACCTGACGTTTATCTTAACCTGACAATATGTGAAGTGTGACAAAACCCGACTGATGTGACGATGGTAGTAGTCACACCCAGGGGGGCTAATCTATTAATCTAGGGTTTTACAGGCCTCCTTATATACTACTCTCAAATTAATTACATAATCCGTGACGACGTGACTTGATCCGCTGATCCGGTTCTAGAATGTTCTAGTTCAGGCTTCTGGAAGGTTCTAATATAGGTCCTGGGTCAGACTTGCCAAATATGGACATGTTACCCTTGGTTCGGTTCAGAGTCTAGACCGGTCCCTGGCCTAGAGCAGGCCTAGACCTTGTGGCCGGGTGCATATAGATTTGATTCAAAGGTTTGCAACATTTATTCTGAAATTCTGTATATGTTCCATAGCTATTGTGCATGAAAATGAATTTATGGGGTCCATATGTTATTATTCATATGGTGGTCATATTGACGGCTCATTATCTTCCCTTTTCATAAATCTTGACCGTCCTCAGTCAGTTCAAGCAACAATATCTGACTACATTTTTCGTCACTTCCAGCTACATTTTTCACTGGGTTTTGTTTTTATGCCATGCAACATATGAAGATCAAGTCCCAGTTTCAACTAGGTGGGGCTTCACCATTCATGTCCTTGTTCCCTGTTTGAATCTATCATTATCACTGCACTGTAGTACCTCTGTTGTGCCCTATAACTTGGTCTGGTTATCTCTGCAGGTACCATATATGTATATTATTATTCCCTAATTTTTCCAGCTTTTTCTCTGATTTTCTAGCAATTTCCTGTCAATTTCTCTGTCACTTAACCTATTTTTAATGGTTTCCCAGTCATCTTGTTGATATCCGGTAATCATAAATGTTTTGTTAACATTTGATGTCCTCTTGTATGTCAAACCTTTCCAATGACTATGACTTTCTCATTTTAATGTTTTATTATGGCTGAGATAGCGTCTCTGCAAGCATCGTAGTGCTATCTAATCTCGCTCGGCGATCTCGGCGATCGAATCTAGTTATCTTGGGTAGATATCCGAACGGATCGTCGGTCGTCGGTCCCATCCGGCTCCGGTCCGGTGGGGCTTCCGTGCTGCCGATCATGAGGCGGTGCTTCGTGCTTCTTCCTTCTTGACCACCACCACGCCGTCTTCAACGACCTCTGGCCCTTTCCTACGAGCCTCGTGCGCTCGTCGGGGCGCTTCTGGCAACGACCTCGCGTCTCTCTCGGCGCCTTCTTGCTGCCTCCTGGCCCTGCTTCTCGCGGCCGGCCCGCGCTCCTCTGACGACGCGTCATCGCTCGATGCGCGCGACTTAGCGCGTTCCTCGTCGTTCTTGGCGGAGCTTCGTGCTCACATCGTCGAATCAGTCGGATGGGAATGCTTGGATGGTGGGTGGAAGGGGCTGGGGACGGGGAACGGCGGCTCTCCGCTGTTTGGTGTGGGCTGGGGCGGGTATTCAGGTGAGTTCTGTTGTCCCATCCCTGCCCTACGAGCACGAGCCTCGTGTTGCTCGTTCGGCCGTCTTCTTCCGGTGGCTCCACCCGTTCCCTGGCTGCGGCGGGCTTCCGCGCGGCTGGGTGGCCTCGTTATGGCGACGCGTCATCGCTTGACGCGCGCGCTCTCTCGCGCTCGGCGTCTCACTTCTGTCTTCTGGCGAAATACTCTCTGTCTGGAGTGTTGGGTGGCTGGCCATGGAGGATTTGGGGGCGCAGACGACGGGGATGAGGGCGGGGTGGCGGAACACGGGGCTGGGCGGCCCAAACCAGGTGAGCCATGCCGTTTCTCCCTCTTCTTACTTACCTTCCCTAGCTGTTCCGTCTTCTCTGCTGGGTGCTAGCCGTATTCGGCGGTACTCACTCGTAACTGAGCCTTGCTCTCGTCGTCCACCGCGTGAGCGCGTTCGCGCGCTGGGTTGCTATGTGCGCGCTGCACAGGCAACTCGTCGTGCTCGCTCGTTGTGTCGGGCGCCGTCCCGTGCTGCTGTGCGCGCACTGCGCAGGCAACTCGGTGGCTTCGGGCCGGGCGCTTTGTCTTGTGTACCGCTCCGTGTATCTATTCCTCGTCAATATAGGCACTGTCGTGCTTCTGTCGTGCCTTGAGGCGCGCCTCCAGGCGCGAAAATTGCCTTCTTTGGCATCGTGGACGTCGCGTGGCGATGTGTAAGCTTCGACATGCGCTGCGGGGCCCTCCCGTCCCTTTTTCAGAACCTAGAACTGTCCCCAGTTCTGCGGGGGGAGGACGACGCGTCATAAGGCAAGGGTCCGGGCTGCAGCTATAAAAGCTGGCCTGCTGCTCCGGTAAGCCCCATCGACTCGTCGACCTCTCTACTCTGCTTACTCATCCTTACCATGGTCTCTAGCCTCAAGACTGCCTCTCTTTCGACTCCCACCATCCAGGTGTGGAACCCCGACGTTCACCGCATGCCTGCGGCTGTTCGCAAGTGCCTCTTGGCCTCCGCCAAGTTCAACGCGAGTCCTGTCTTCAAGGACCTCAACGCGCGCGACACCCACTTTGCGAGCGAGCGCTGGAAATGGGTAAATTTTAATTTCCTTGTTCTATTCTGCCTGTTTGCTAACATATTTCTAGGGCCAGCATTTTACTTACGCCCACCATATTGCGGACGACCCTGTGTTGCTTCAGGCCGCGCGGGACCTGTTGCTGAACTCCATGGACTTCGTGTCCCATGGCCAGCCCGACGCGCGGATACGGCGGCGCTGCGCCGTCTCAACACGGAGATCAATCTGCGTCTTGACCAGAACAACCACGCGTTTGGCGTCGGTCGGTTCAGTCGGGGCGCCAAGTCCGTGGCCGCGGCCTTCAACAGGGCGCGCCAACATCCCAAGTACGGCGACGCGGCTCCGAGCCGCCGTGGCCGGCCTATGCAGGTGTGCTATTCTTTCTATATTGTTTATCCTGTTTTAAATTGTCCCTCTTGTAGATCGCGAAGGGGCCTGGTCACTCCCGCGCGGCTCGCGTTCTTAGCGCGCCGATCGTCGTCAGCTCTGATGATGATAGCTCGACCCCCACGTCATCTGCGTGCGCGGGTGCTTCGCCTCCGCCACCTCCGCCGCCGCCTCCTTCGCGTTCCAACACCGTTCCCGACTCCGCGTCGAACTACGGTGAGGGTGGTGCGATGGACGTCGATGACGCCGCTGATACGGTACGTTTGACAGCTTATGTCCAATTGTGGATTAACTCTTTTACAGGCTCCCACCGCTAAGCGTGACTCTCCGCCTCCGCTCGAGAGCGTTGATGCCTCCGAGGAGGAGGGGTCTGATGCTGGTATGTCATTTTCTAATCTACTGCAATTGTTGGTGGCTCATGTGATTGTTCAGCCATGGTAAGCTGTCCTGCTGGTGCGGACATCTCAATACTCATTGGGCATCTTAGCCTGCAGCCCAGCCCACTGGTATGTGTATTTCTAATATTTCCTGGGTTTGTACTCAATCAGACATCCAGGCTCTGCCTCTGAACGCTCTGGAGCCGCTGCCTTCTCCTCCAGCATCGATGCTGTTCTCTCCGACACTGCCCGGGCTGCGTTGGCATCAATCCGCGCGGCCGGCCCAATCACGCCCGAGCGCGTCATCGCCAATGCCTTGCCTCCACCCGTCGCAGGTGCTCACATTCTTCTGGCTGCTCTTGACTTATGCTTACATTTTTCTCAGCGCCCCGCTCACCCGGACAGATCCGGCACGACATCGAAGATCAACGCTTCCAAGTCAAAGCCTTGGAGCGCCGACTCCGGGAGCAGCAGCTCAATCCGATCTCCGAGCGCACTCCACGCAAGGACCTCGAGGCCCAACGCGATCACGCCACCGCAAGACTCAAAGCCGCAGAAGCCGAACTCTCGGTTGCAAAGCGTGAGGTCGCTCGTTCGCGCCGACACGCTGATGAGACCCCCAACTCCGTTTGTTATCTTGTTATATTGGGATTTCTCACTTATCTCATTTTCAGGCGCCCAAAAATTTGTGAATATTGCAAGGATATTCCCCACACTCAAGGGGTTTGTTGCTGAATCAAATGAGTGATCCAGTACTGTACTATCATCCATGCTTATCCTTTACTTGTTTCAATTTACGACCTTTTTACGATTTCTTCTTGTGTTTGGGTTCACCTTATAGTGTCCAGTTGAAGTAGGAAATTTAGTAGCACATTTCTTGTACTTTCTTTCCTGATTGCAATTATATAACTTCAACTGTATTCCTGGACTGTATTCGGTCCTATTGATCTATTGATCGATCCCGATCAATTTTGATTGATCTTGTGATCCAGCCTCGCCCAGATAAGTATATTTATAGTGTGACTATGCCAGTTCCAACTCAGACTCAGAGTTAGAGTCAGATTCTGTTTCTGAATCAGTAGTTGGATTAATTGTGATATTTGGAAATTGCAAGTCTTTTCCTTGATACTTTTCTGTCTCAGTGTGATCTTCATCTTCCTCTATAAGTTGTTGAAGCCTTTCTTGGGACACATCAATAATCTCTTGAACTCTTT